CTGTAATCAACAATTTTTAGGTTACTATAATTTTGACCGCAAGCGAGGTAAAAAATAAATTAACGATCGATTTATATTTTCCAAACTTCCACCTAGAAGCTATAAACATAATTTTATTCAAATTTTCAATAAGCCATAGCATCCATTCAAGTGTTTATAGCGAAGATACCTATTAAGATGGTTTCATTGCTGCTCATGTCTTTAATAAAAGATTACCGTAAAGTTCAATATAGTTCAAAAGGTTGGAACTAATTAAATAATTACATCAATTTTACGTTAACGAACATAACGAACAATCAAACGACGATTAATCCAATTAGAACGTTGTTATTTCATTACAAATTGTGTAAATTCAATTTTCTACGATTTTCTGGAATGTCATGTTATTTAATTTTAAAGTACAACAATTTGTACTTTTTATTTACGCCGGTTATGTCAATAAACTCATCAAATTTCTAGGCGACATCAAAGAAAAACTTCAACCAATGTGTTTAAATGTCTACAAAGTGGCACCCATTGATCATCAATGCGTCTAATGTCTCAATGTGCCATTTTAACAACATTTCTTATACTTCAGGTTTAACTGGAAACAGCTAGCACACAATTCTAAAAATTAATAACCTCGCATCACATCATTGATAGCAATCTTGCTGATGGGTGAATGGTGCATTGGGAATGCCGTTAATTATAAAGTTATGCATCGAATCTTATTTGATTTCATTTAATTAGCAGACTTATAGATTTACCTGGAAGTGCAGCACAATAAAATGAGGCAAGTTATGAGCATCATTTGTGCAGTGTAATGTCATTTGCGTTTTATTTTTAAGTTTTGTCATACAAATGGTGGAATGTAGAAATCATTTTCATGCTAACAGGGAACGTTGGAACTAAAATTTCCTGCAGGTTACGACATTATACGTAATAATACTTACTCGAATGATTGTTTGGCTTAGACTTAAAATATGCGGTTTCCGTGCGTCGTTTAACGACAAAACATAAATAGTTAACACTGTTTAGCGCTTTGAGAATTGCGTTTCGTTAATAATCAAGCTGTGCATTAAGCTAAGCATTAAACGAGCGTTATTTTATGTATGACACTTTTCACGTGTAAACCTTGAGCGCGCGTTCGATGCTCGGAAAACAAAAGAAAACGCCTTGGAAACGCTATTGTTTTCAAACGTCAAAGAAGCGCGTTAACCATGCGGATGTATGACTGACGCTTGCTCGACGTTATAGTCAACGCATGATCGTGCATAGATTTTCAGCATTTTCGTCACACTCAATTGTTTTAGTGCGGCGATATTTTATTTCCACCTCGGCGTATTTTTATGTAATTATATAAAGTCGCGGTCGCTGTGAGAAGAATGTTTTAGCACATTCGAGAGCGAGCACGAGTGCAGAATTCTTTAGGTTGCGCTTTGTTCGACACATTTCGGTGTTCATTGATTTTTCATTGATAAATTTCGTGATTGCATTCGTAGCCTGGTCCAACCGACACTCTTCGGATGCTTGTCGCTGCGATGTGCGAGCAATAATTTCTCATTTGCGTCCGCGGCCGCCGCATCGGTGCATAAGCGGTGGTGTAAGGTTAGTTAGCTGACAATGCGGCGCTGATTAGCGCCGCTAATTGCCGGACCTAATTAATTTCGAAACGAGCGTACGAGTGCGCACCGCAAACGAGGCGAATGCATCGAAAGGCCATCTCGTTCGTTCGATCAGTGGTGGAGTAAGCAAACGGGGCTTGCAGCAAAATAAAATACTGTAAAAATCAACCTTTAATTTTATACAGTGTCATGGATAATACCCAAAACTAATTCAATTACCTTGAATTAAAATGCACTTTCGAAAACAATAATTATTAGAAATTACAAGTTATTTTACATTTCTCAAATTCTCATGATTTTCATATTTTATTTTAAACATAGGAAATTTTAATTCTTTGTAGATTCAAACATGTAATGAAAAAATAAGTGGCACATTAAAAGACTGGAACGAAAAGACCAAACGGTAGCACTATCGATGTTCGTTTCAGAATTAAGTTCATGTGCAGTACTCTGCTAACAAGTGCGAGAACATGTTATCTTAAAATACCTTTGGTTCACATACAAAGAAAAAAATCAATTACATTGGTCACAGGACTATTTTTTAGTAAAGTAAATCGTCTCTTTGTTGGCATTACAATGTCAAATATTAACTGTCTGAAAATTATTGGTTTATTTAAATAACATTGAAATGTATTTAAATCGAGTCAATTAAATCTCGAAAAACACGAGATTTCTCTTCCCTATTTATGTTTATTCCATTCTTTCCGCTACGTTCACCTCGGTTTTCATTCGTTTTGCGTAACAAAGTGGAATTTCCAGATTGTCTCCTGATGCCAACCAGCAAAATGCCTTGTTGGCTATTTGTGCTTGCGCCTAATAATATTAGACAAAATATCAAAACGATGCGACATATCAGCAGCGGTCGGACGACGTGGAACAAAACGCAGTTCCAGTTTGTCCACGAAGAGATGTGCCGTACACTCTGCACGCGAACGAACGATACGAAATTCTTGCATTATTGTATTCAAATTTGTGCGCTTTAATCTCGGCGGTTGCATCTTGTTATAAAGACCGTCTTCCAACTCTGTCCAATAACTTTCAGCAACTTCCAACGACTTCTACACTGCGAAGAAAGCGCACAAGTTGTTAAGGCAAAGTTTCAAGCTCTAAAGTACAGATTTACTCACAAAATTACCTGCAAAGTAACTACGCTTTCAGTTAATGATAATTAAATCTGTTAAATAACTCAATTAAAATGGTTGATATCATTTTGTAAACGGAAGCAGAAAATCAACTTTTAACCACATTATCCATTATGACACTTTGGATATTATTGAAACATGAAGCGAAAACGTCCAACCTTTCAATATTACGATCATTAAGAGCGCCCACGAATTTTAATTGCCCTCACTTTCACGCCACTTGCCCCAGTAATAAAAGCTGCATGGCCCTTTAAAATTTTCGTTAATTAAGACGTTTTTCACATCATTTGCGTCCATTACCGGGGCGCGTCAGTTACGCGGTGATATAATATTAAAAATAATCAGCACTCAGGTCCCAAATAAAATGTGTTATGCTCCTTTAACGTGACTACCTGCATTTTATACGAACGTTATACACACGTATAAATAACAAAATGATTGGCTATATTTTATTTATGGCTGTTTTATCAAAAATTGAAACGTCTTGAAATTCAATCATAAAATTACGGCGCCACTGATTGCATTATTTTATTTGGGTTAAATATCAATATTTAAATTTTGACATTTACAATATCTTTATGTTTATTGGCACTTTTTTCTTTAAAATACCTGATTTTAGGATTCAGTTTAAAAGCTTTTAAAGGCAAGTCAATGACGTTTCCAAACCTTAAAAGCTAAAAAAAACGTAGTAATAATAAGTATCTAATTCAGATTCGTTTTAATTTTTATGATATATAAGACATAAAACTAGTTATTATGAAGAAACTAAACAACAATATTTTTATGTAAAATCAAGAAATTCATGCAAAAATGTAAACACAGCAAAAGACAATATAATTTATTGTCAGCGGCGGTAACTTTGTTTTGTTACGATGGTGTAAAATAAACGCATTTCTACTTCCTTGAATCCTTTGAAATCTTTGTGCCGGACCCAAATACATGAAACAACCTGAACTTTAAACGAAGACCGACTCCCAAGATCCTATAATGATAGAAGTATTTCCTTTTCTACATAATACGGCTCTAAACAGTTTTAAACACGTAACACCCAACTGTAAATTATCTCATAAACTTTTGCTTTGTTAGTTGTAAATTCCAAGTACCTTTAAAATAAACATTTTGTCACGATTATCAACATAATAAATGAATTAAAAAGTTCACGTATGCAAACTTAACAACAGATAATTTTAAAATTTGCTGTTTTTAATGTTTGAATACTTTGCTTTTCTTCAAGTAGCCTTTACAGGAATTCGGTCACAATTTATACTTCTTGTTTGCTCTCGGGCTTGGCGTTAAAGCAGCTTGTGCGCAAATACAAATGCCCTGACATCGCGCATACATTAATCATATTACAAATATTGGCAGCGCAAGATAATAAGGATACGCAAGAACGCAACCGTGAACGTCGACAAATATTTTCACTTCTCCGGTGCGATCTTCAACTTACGCACGCCGCCGGCCGGCACGCACAGCTTTAAGATGCATGCAAAAGAAGTGGAAGCGCACGTAACTACTTCTATTCGCGGTATGATGTGAGCTTACGACGTTTTTCTTTGCCGATGTAATGCAGAATGGCTTGTTACATACATTTTCTATGTAAATGGTATGGTTAACAGCTCGTCCTTAAGTCATTATTATATCGACGTGCAAATGCCAAGTAGTAAATTTACATACAAAAATTACAATCTTACAAATCACAAGAACAAAATATTTAAAGAGATCAATTATTGAATATTGAAAATTCTTGTAATGTTAAGTGATTTAACTGAAAGGTGGTTGGGTTCTTGATGATGTTCGGTCAGAGTAACAGAGCTTTACGATTGCACGAAATGCACTTCAAATTCAAGCATTCAGTTGTTCCTGTTTTCTGCAGAAATGTAGTTTCGCGAATTATGCGACGATTATGCATCGAGTTCATGTTCGCTGATACACATTACGCCTCGTGATGCATGTGTACGTGACTGAAATGTAAACCAAACACGTAAGTTTCGCCCCAAAAAACTTAAGTTGTGAAGGAAAGAAAATATCACCAGCACCAGCATAACGTGCCTGAATACCTTTTGCAAAACATCAAACATTAAAAACGTACATGAGCAGCACTTTCTACCAAACCACAAAACAATGTCGAATGCTAAGAATTGCAAATTAACTCTTACGTGGAAACTCCATAAAAACGTGATTAAACAAGTGAGTTATTCTTGCTTATCTCATGCTATGACGACAAAAAGTGTGAACAAATAAGATTACACAAACATTTATATAAATTGATATATTCTTTTAATACAGATCTTGTTTGTAATCGATTATTAAAGTACAAAACACTTACATAATTGGAATAAATAACGTAATATTAATCATATTAAAGTCTTTGCCTGACTGCTTGCAATAAACAATTAACCACTGTGTAGGAAAGACATTTACGTCTTTTTTTTTCTTAAATTATAAGTAGAAATCAGTACAATATTAACTAAAACCTGATAGAAATGGGTCAAAGGACGAGATGTGATGAGGAAGATCACAAGGTGAGAGTGGTTCTAGACACAGGTCCATGGAATTTAATGAATCGTCCATCCCGTCGAAATCCATCGAAAAATCGGACGTCAATGATTGATCTGACGAAAAGTCCGAATGTAGTGGCAAGGACTCACCGTCTGACTCCAGTAGTAAATCCAGATCACTGTACAAATCCTCCGACTCGTTTAATGTGGCACTCAACGTAGTAATATACTTCATTGCCAATCTCAATGTCGTGATCTTTGTCAGTTTTTCATTTGTGACTTTTGCGGGTTCTTCAGAAAGATGTGGAACAACGCGTCGCAATGTTTCAAATGCAACATTGATTTCTTTCATCCGACTTCTTTCTCGTGCGTTCGCTGTCCTTCGACGATATTTACTCAAAGGGGCTGGTTTTTGTTTGGGTTTTGAGGTACGTGGTTGTTTAGTGCTTGTGGATGGAGAAATAGATGATATCAAAACAGGCGTTTCTTCATTTACACTTGTGCTTGCAGTGATCGTAGTTACGGTTGCGTTTTTCCGACGGCGAGACGAACGTGGCCTCAGGGAGTATTTGTCGTGTTTATCGAGTCCCTTGAGCGTCGTGCTAGAAGACATCGAGGAAGTTCTGTCGGCGGTGAGTGTTGTCTTGTGATTGTTGTTGGCGTCTAGGTATGTATTGGCAGTGTGCAGGTGTTGTGGCGGCATCGATAGACGTGAACTGATGTCGTCTTCGTGGAGCATGTTGTTTGAAGTGACGCGTGCTACTTCGACGCTTATCTTTTACTTGATGGTCGCCAGGAGTGGACGTGCTGCTTGCTGCGCAGGCAACTTAAGACTGGTCTCCGGCCTACTGCAGCAGGCGCAGAGAACTATTGCTCTCGCGGTGCACCTCGTATTGAGTGCATCTCTCCTACCTCTACCGATCTATGAAATTTCCTGTGACTACAAGAAGCTTAACCGGCTCAACCTATTGAGTTTTTCTGGAAGTGGTTCCTGTTTTATTGGCACACAAAATAATAATTCTTATTGACTGCTTTATATAATATATTGTAAAGTTATTATTTCTTTTCAACTACATGTATATAGAAGTTAGGTACGGCAATTTCTGTTAGCTTTTGGAAATCGCCAAAGATCTGGTGATCGTCCTTTGCATTGAAGGCTTCTTTAAGCATGTCCTTGAAAGACACCAAGCGATGGGGATAATAACTAAGACGGAATTCGCTACAACACAAAAAATACATTGTAATCTCTAATATAGGGGAGTTAGTTGAAGAACATACTTGATTGTATCAGAATTAGCAACCTGGGCTGCTTGTTTTCCGTTTTTGTAATTGGCAGTGTCAATTACATAGTCCATCATCACCATTGCGGGTTTTCCCGATACATACAAAACCGAGGTTTTGATGTCGGTATGATAGGAACTCTGAAAATTTTAAAATATTAATAAATTTTATTAAAGTTATTGCGTTAGAAAAATTGATTACGTTATAATAGATGCATTTTGATGGAGTCTCCCCGGAACTAACAATGTGATCATAATTTCTATGGTCAATAAGAAGAAGACCTCCTGGTTTGACGCAGCGTTCGAAATTCTTTATCGCTTGCCTGTAATCATACGAAACAAACAAAGAAATTAAAAATCTCCCAAACATGTTTTTACCATGGTGTTACGTTAACGTTGACGTCACGTGACATTGACCTGCGACAGTTGTGTTGCGATTATCTTATATTATGATAATGTTTTATTGCTAGTTATCACTGTGGACCGTAAAAAATAAGTGGCAAGTGAGAAACTAACAATCTATTACACAAGTTAAAGTTAATAATCGTGATAATATAAGATTGCGAGTTTAAATAGCGCAACTTTAATGACAATCATTGACAGAAATATTAATATGACTACCAACAATTCAAAGCGACTCATATTTGATACTAATAAGATTTCTATCAGTTTATGCTTTTGTTTCTCTGAAATACCTACTTTTGTTCACGTTGATCGCCGAAGCTGTCCATCATATGAGCAAATGAATTTCCCAAGCAAATTACAGCATCAAAACCATCTCCAACTAAGCTACCAATGTCATCATATAGAGTCAACCAGTTAGCTTCTTCAATAACTGTGCAAATGCAAAACATAAGACAATATTCTGATGTAATATAGAAAGCAACTTACTCCACTTATCGAAAGCTGGTTGTTTCCTGCGATCCCATCGCTCCTGAAGAGCGTATTTTAACATTTTATCAGAAGCGTCACAAGAGACAACTTCGAATCCTTCTTCTAATAACATGATAGAGTCGACTCTGAAAGATGCTCAAAATTAATACATGAGTATATCGCTTTAAAAAATTATTTGATCTTAGTAGTAATATAATTGGTTTTTAACTAACCCGGTGCCACATGCAACATCTAAAATACGACGACATCCTTTCTTTTTGAGTAGTCCGATTAAGAAGTTCTTATAGCTTTCTGTACGACTTTTTTTGTCGCCTATGAATAGTTCCCAAACTTTAGCAGCCTTCCCATCGGCGTACTGGTCGCGTACACCCTCCGATGAGGTGCCCAAACTCTTTGTACGAATTACGTCGTCACTCATTTTTCCTCTTTGGCTGGCACTTAAAAGGATGCTGGTGTCGATGTGATGTGCTCGGAGCGACTGATTAGCAAGTCAGCAACAAGGCGTATTTCATTTACTCCGCGTTCAAATCATAAGATGCTAACAGTATCTCCCGATAAGAACAACCCGATCCAATTGGTAACAAACTGATGGCATCATGACGACACCAAATTATGTGGTGCAAAATAATATCCTATTGATGAACGTTTAATGTCATAATTACTTATCGTAATTTTATCGGGTTTACTTCTTATTTACTTGCTTATTAGTACACATATGCGCACAATTAATGGTTTATTTGTTACGTCCGTGGCTTGATTGTCGATTTATATATTAAGCGATATTTTTACGAAAGTTATCACTTGTTTTCTAGCGCTTACTCGTCGTTGCTGGATAACAGTGTGACGATTATCTACACTTGTAAACAACTTTAAACTCATTTATTCTGTGAAAGGCTTAGGTGGACTTGTATATGCTTACAAAAATTACGTACACATGAGGGAGTTGATATAAATTAAAAGACAAGTTTAACTTTACTTAATCTTAGATTAACAAAGCAAAGAAACGTTTCCTAAGGTAGACTTAAATAAATTTTGTAATATTTTTTAAATATAATATATTTTTGTTTTCTCAAGATAACAGGAACGGTTTTCAATATCTACATTGTTGTATATCACTATTCATAATATTTGGCTGCTCTTTCTTGATAATTTATTTATACAATAATACTACGATTACTCCTCACTTGGTGGCTCGAATTCATGTCTGTTGGACTTCTCAAACATTCGCCCGTATTTTGTTTGGAGTCCTTCAACGAACTCCTCTTTCAAATTTTGCAAACACATTCGATAGATGGGATCTTTGCGAAACTTGATTATATCGTAACTGGGCGAATGAGGTTTGTGTACAATAAATGCATTGTGTAGTACAATGAACTCATAGTTTTGGCACTCCAATTCCATGATGTGCGACACCTTATTCCAACCAAATCCTATGAAACTTGCATCATATTCGACAACATTTTTCTTCACTACTATATATGGCTCAAAATCTGGTTCCCATTTGATCTAAACATCCAAAATAAATAACAATTTAGTTAGTTAATATAAGTAATTATAAAATTATTTTTTTTAATTACAGTGTACGGAGATTGAGCTGTTTTCCATCTTGAATAATTCGTTGGCGCATGACCGGAAGCCCACACATCGTACCTGAAGGTGAATATAGCTTTGTTTTCCAACATTTGTAAAAGTTCATGTTTATTCTTCGGAAAACGACTTCGATATCGCTGAGATTCAAATGCTGGGACAATTAAAGCCTAAAAATAATAGTTGGATAATACGAGTGTGAGCAAACCCTCATGGTATTACCTTTTTATTCATAACTTTTAAAGATGCAATAGCATTTCGAAGAGTCTGGTGTAGTCCAAACATTGGAAGAAAATCTATGTCCGCCAGAAACACGTAAGGTGTGTTTACGTTTTTCAAACCTACATTACGAAGTAAATTTATAGGATGATAATCCTGCAAATATTTGTTGTCCTTTACGTTAGTGTTATTGTTAGATACTACTTAACATACCCCTTTTTTGAATACTGCATGGTATGCAATATTTGTTCTTTCTTGTAGCACTTCAGAATTGTCAATATAATGAAGTGCTTGCTGAAATTCGGGATCAGTCACATACAATGTCAAAGAAATTGGGCCCTCCCATTGCTTTGATAGTTGTTCGACCATTTGTAGTCTATCATAGGAAAGTTGAGCCACGAATGTAACATCATTACTAACTGGAATGTATTCAAAGTTTCGGAAAAATAGGAGCGTGCGCCACTTATTGCCTTTTGCCTGTTTAAACTGAAAACAAACGTCTGTTGGGGTCTCAGCTGGCGTCGAATCATTGGCACAATCATACAGACTTGTGGTAACTAAGTATCCATCCATTTCCAAAAACGTCGTATACAGACTACGAAAATAGACCCCGTCCTTGTTGATAACTTTGATCTTTTTTGGAGAATTCCAATGGATAATCTTAATTTGATTACTGCTATAACATTGATGACTAGTTGTGTGATCACTTAACTGTGTGTTCCAGTAACAAGGCACTTCATGCAACAAATTCGGATACTGTTTCAATACGGTGTTCATTATGTCTTGATCGCCCAATGATGTTGCGCCGTAGAGCATCGCTGCTTTCTTTGCCACGCGATTCCATAGTTTATCCCAGGCGATCAAACGCAACTTATCTAAGCGATAGAGTATCACTCCAGTGTTAAACCTGAATGTCAACAATGCTTTAGTTATTTCTTAGTTAAAAATATTATGTTCAAGTTACCCTTTGCCTATCGCTGGCCAAACTGTTCGTTTGCTAGACAAATAAAAGTCACTCTCATTTTCAACCAATCCAATTGCCTGCAATTATAAAACACTAAAATAACTCTTATGTTATGAAAAGGTAACCATTAAATAGCGTTTGCACAAAACTCGCCAGAATAATGTTGATTTTTTCAGTTTAACTTTTGCAATTAACACTTGAAAATGTATTATTTACCTGATTATAGCCAAACTCACTAAACAATTGCCATAAGTCATTGATATCACTAATAAATGTAAGATCTGTATCCAAAACAATAATTTTATCCACTTCCTTTGGAATGAACTTATCAAAAGTTAACTTTAAAAGGCCATAAAGGCCAGAATAATGACTATTTGGTACCCATCGAACATCAGGGAGAAGTGGATTCATTTCATAGTAACTAACATTCACTAAAACAGATCAATACAGTATTATGTAACTACAATTCTAAGCAAGTAAGAATACATAATATTTGTATATGCACATACATTTTGGAATTCTCCAAGTATCAAATAATGTCCTGAGTACATTCTCAGAAAATTTATTAACCACAATATGCAGATGCAATGGGTTATGTCGATGAAATAAAAGACTTTTTAACATTGTATGCAGATACAAATTTGACTTAAAACCCGAGCACACAAATCCTAAGTGTATCACTTCACATTTTTCCCATGTGTTTTGACTGGTAGGAATTGTAGTTACATTATTATCACCAGTAAAACCTTTCTTCAGCTCACCATAAAAGTTTACCATTTTGGTATTGTCTTTCTTCTTTAAGCTATTGTAGTTATAATTTATTTTGGTAACTGCAAAAACATGATTAAGTTAAATGTAATTATTCAAAACATAGCACTCTTACCTGCACAAAACTCTATAAGATAATTAATAAATATAAGAAGACTTAAAATTAAGATTATGGTACATATCAGCCCACGTCGAGCCAGCACATTTGATAACACATTTTGTCTCTTGGTACGAATTTTGACGCTGTTGTGTGCTCTTCTGCGTTACATACCGAGCATTTAGCCTCTGGGTCAATGACAAACGTCGTTCATTGTATGAGAACGAGTAGTTGTGGTATTCATTGCTATTTATCAAGTTATTAACGTTTGTTGTATTGATAAGGAAATTACTCGTTTCACTTTATATACTAACTCAACCAACTGTACACAGACTGAAAGAAACGTCAACGTGCCTGGCGTAACCTAAACAGATCCGTACTAAAAGAGGGGCCCGCTTAGAATTGCATACTTTTAAATAATATTATTTTCTTCAATATTGACTACCTAATCCATGTTAACTTAGTATAAATGTATATATTTTAATATAAAATTAAAGGCGATTTTGTTACAAGATTTTTTGAGTCAGACTTGTTTCGCCTCGAGGGCATCTTCAGTAAATAATAGTATGGAATAAGGAATTGTTTATTATGATTTACCTTTCCCAACATTTTCTTATCGGTTTTCTTCAAAGTTAGTTATGACTAGGAATTATCAATTAATAATTTCTAAAGTAACTATCTCAGATTGTTGGAACTTTTGAATTTCTTAACAGAGAAATTTAGGAATTAGCTTATCGAAAGCTACGAAAATCTTAAATCTAATCATTTTATATTTACATTCTACAGTTCTATGGGATGTATGGGGTTATGCCATAGAGGTAGCACCTTTTATCACCAGCGGTCACATCCCTCGTCATATGCGGGGGATGGCTGAGGATAACTGGGCCTCGTGGATTACCCCGCTCTCACTTTTGGCTCCACGTGCCTCATCCCGGTAAACTGCATTGACCAGCAGGCCAAACCAAGTGAGGGTGAAATCGACTAGTATACACCGCATCCGAGTACTAAAATATGACAGAACATAACATAACACCGAAATATAAGCCGTACTAGGAACCTTATTGTCATTATCCCTACTAATATTATAAATGCGAAAGTCCTGATGTTTGTTACACTTTCACGCAAAAACTACTTAACCGACCATCATGAAAATTTGTACACATATTCTTAGTGGTCCCCGAATGGTTATAGGCAACTTTTTATTTAATAAAAAAATTATTTTTTAAATAAAATAAAGAAATTGTTTAGTCAATAATACCTCTGCATCTGGCTATTTGACTACTTTAACGCCATCTAGCATTCCAGCAATGAAGCTCATACCTAAGTACTATAGTACCATCACACTGTATTATCACACTGTATTACCGACAGCTACGTCAACATCAAATCCAATTGACTACCCTATGGAGACTGTACACTATACTTCCACAGTCTATACTTTCAGCCATTTTAAACTTCCCGCCATTCTACTTCATTGTTACTTCTTCTCTGACTACAGACGTGTACGGAAGCAACTTCATTATTTTAGATATTCGCGAGCGAAGCCGCGGGTTAAAGCTAGTTATAAATATTTTTATAGAAGATAAAATTGGTGTTTAGTCTGAAGCATTTTTTTAAATATTTATTTTAATGGTCAGCTTGTACAGGATACCCCGGCGTTTCACTGACTTAATCGACGAGCAATTTCTTGAGATCGTACCCAAAGTAAGTATTTATAGTGCAGTATTTTCATACAGGTAACAGCAATTTTCCGATATTTTTCTAGTTGTTACTATCCCAGAAATATGGCCCGCCGTGACTTCGCCACGTGATTATGTATCTAAAGTTAATTTAATTCTTTAACTCTAATATATAGTATGTTCTTCAATCGTCATTATTGGAATGTACAAATTCTGATACCACCTTCTTGTCGCGTGTTTCATGTACGTCCTTGTCGCTACCTGAAGCGAAGCGTTCCTCGTGGCTGACAAACTCGGTTTCAGATCAAGTTATCGCTTATCAGTTTGTATTAGAGATCGACAGAAATTTTGATACTCATCTAGTAAGTAACTAGCTGACCCGGCAAACTTTGTTCCGCCTCGCTTTGCTCTTGTGATTGAGAAGCACAAAGTCGAGTCATACTAACACGGCGCTTTTCACGTGCAATTTTTGGTTCTTCTTCAGTCCTTTCATTCGCAATCCTTCGAATCCTAGTTGCATTACGGTTTTGTCGGATAAGATTTGATCGTTTTGGTCGCTGCATGTTGAGTGGGGAAGCTACGAAGCATCGCACAAAGAAGAGACGGAGACAACTCGTTTAGTATCTTCGAAAGAAGTTTTCATTTCAAAAAGGATTAAAAAAAGTATCCTACACTTACTAAGTCTTATTCCAACAAACACATCAACCGGGCAACTTCAACCAACACGTACAAACCCATGCACGTCTATGCTTAGGGGGACGCTACGAATCGCACGTCTATGCTTAGGGGGAAGCTATGAATTGCACAAAGGGCAGACGGAGATAATAGAAAACATTATATTTGTGTGCTCTTTTTCTCCCGTAGGCTAAACCATATAAGCGAATATGTTTGTTTCCTTTTAGTGTCGTTTAGTGTTCTCTAAAGGAGTTTTCACTTCAAAAAGTATCCTAGTAACCTTCTCCAAACAAAAACATCAACCGGTCAATTTCAACCCACACGTACACACATACACACGTCTATGCTACGAAGCATCGCACAAAGAGGAGACGGGGATAATAGAAAACTTTGTATTTGCGTTCTCTTATTCTCCCGCAAGATAATCCATATACGCAAATATGTTTGTCTCTTTTTAGTGTCGTTTAGTGCCCTTTTAGAAAAGTTTTCACTTCAAAAAGTATCCTATTACCTTCTCCTGGCCCTAAGCTACCTCTCCACCAATTTTTAGCTAAATTGGATTAGCCGTTCTTTAGTTATAAAGGAGTTAACTAACACGACTTTCTTTTATATATATATAGATGGGCCCCTGAAATTTAGGTGGCTTAAAAAATTGAGGGGCAAAGTGGGCTTCCTAAAATTTTTGATAAATAAGAGGGGAAAATAACTCGCATCAACAAATTCGAAGTAAGAAATGAAAAAAAAAATAATATAAGCAAAAAATTGATACAAAGGTAAAAAAGTTTTATGGGTGGGAGCCCACTTTGCCCCATATTCTGAATTTTTTTATTTTGATAGACACGGCTTATTAATATTGAATACTGAACAAGGATGTAAAAAATAGTGTAACAAGTGAAAAAAGGTAAACAAATCCCCTTTTTTCGCTTTTGGGACCCACTTTGAACTAATTGACATTCTCAGAGTTTCTCTACGCCAGAATAGAGCTGGAGAGTTTTTCAACATGATGTATTCCTTCCAAGCTTCCAACTCTTTTTAGGAAATTTTGAAAACATGGTGTGGAATACACCCTGTATCTCCGAAACTAATTCACTTTCTTAGAGTTTCTCCACGCCAGAATAGAGTCGGGGAGTTTATCTACACGATGCTTACCTTTTCAACTTTCCAGCCCTTTCGAAAGTGCCCTTAAAAAATGAGCAATTTTACAACAATTTGAAAATATAGTGTGGAAAACACCTTGTATCACGTGAACTAATTGATTTTCTTGAAGTTTCTTAACGTCATGTTAAAGTGCGAGAGACCCTTTATACTTTGCATATCTTTTTAGCCCTATTAACTCTTTGGAAGTGTCATAAAATCCCATTCGATTATCGATATTTTTGTCCAATAAATTCCATTTTCTAGTCAAATAACATGGTCGAACTTTTTTAATAAATATTTTTAGGTCGAACAACAGGGTCAAACTTTTTGCTTAAAATTTTTTGATCGAATTTTTTTGTTCAAATTTTTTCGGTCGAAAAACGATCGAACTTTTTTTCATAACATTTTTTTCGTTCAATTTTTTTTGTTCAAATTTATTCGGTTGATGTTTTTGTTCAATTTTTTCGGTTTGTTTGTTGGTATAATTTTTTTCGGCAAATTTTTTTGTTCAAATTTTTTCGGTCGAATTTTTTTAGTAAAATTTTTTCGATCGAATTTTTTTGTTCAAATTTTTCGGTCGAAAAGGGGATCGAACTTTTTTACTTAAATTTTTTGGTCAATGAACAGGGTCAAACTATTGTGTTAAAATATTTTTCGGTCGAAAAACAGGGTCGAATTCTTTGGCGATTATGTTAAGAACGAAAAGGTCTACGAAAAACGAATTCATTTTTCTCTAAAATTGGAAATAGGGTCTAAACGGTTAATGTTAGTTACTGAAATAGACGATGTAGAATTAAATTATCTATCTGAATCCGATTAAGAATTTAATAAAAATAGTTCCATGCATAGTACGACTACAATTCTTCCCAAGTTCTACACTACCACACTGAAAGTATCAGTGTTTACAAACAAACAAGTTTCTTTATCTCCTGCTGTTAATTATTTTTTGTTTTCTTTTCGTAACACCCTGTAGTATATTAATTTCCCGTAGTGTCAAAAGGGGAAAGATATATGTCATCCCACTTAAAATGTTGTCCTTTTCTCTTTACATCACTCTGTATATAAATTTCCTTTGATTTTACTTTGACTGGTTTTAGATACGTATATATTTCCCTACTTGAATTTTGCATTTTCTCTTTAAATGTTATTATATTGCTTTTTGGAAAAAAAATTAATTGCCATGAAAATTATGCAAAATTTGTTAGTATTATATGTTTGTTTGTTTCGTGTTTAGGGCACCGTGCGAAGGTAGTGGTAGAAGTGACTCGTGTTCAGGGCACCGTACGAAGATAGCGGTAGAAGTGACTCGTGTTCAGTGCATCGTACGTTAACGGTAGAAGTGACTCGTGTTCAGGGCACCGTACGAAGGTAGCGGTAGAAGTGACTCGTGTTCAGGGCACCGTACGAAGGTAGCGGTAGAAGTGACTTGATTCAGGGCACCGTTCAAGGGTAGCGGTAGAAGTGAGTCGTATTGATAAAATATAAATTATTTTTGGACGTTTTAGCCCTGGAAATTTAATTATTTTATACTTTTATCTGATAGAGAATTTTCCAACATTTCATAATCTTCAATCCGTTGGTCGCTAACGTTTTTAGTTTAAATGATATTCGTTACCAAAAATACTCAAAAAAAAACATGACGCAGCACCTCCCTTTGCCCATTTAAGTGAATGTTTAATTTAAATAAGTTAAATAAATTATTTATTTGTAATGGTAAATTAAATTCCTGTTTTTGTCAATCTTATTACATCCCAAAGTCAATATATTCTTTTCTTAAGCCGGGAAATATTGAAAGTAAAAGTAGGTTCCGTGTATATGTGCTATTTCCATATTGAGAATTTTAGTTTCGTCTTCTCAACTACGTGTTTATTATTACGTTTGTGTATAAACAACTTTTTTTGTTCGACTGACGCGTGTTATCGCTGTGTACCTGTGAACCGTACGGCAGTTGTTTCACCGCTTGGTCCCCGATCGTGTCTCTCTAATCGCCATGCGTTTTGAGGTTTTAATTGTATTAATCGTCGTGTATTGACCATCGTCAAAATATTGGCAATGGGAATGTGTGCCTGTTTTGTTTAATGATTTATGGAGGTTAGAGTCTTCTTAAGTGAGAAATAAGTGTCCGTTAATACCTGCGCGAGTTTTCAGTTGATAGAATATATTACAGGATAGAAAATCTCCTCATCAATGCACAGGTTGGTGGATAATTAAAATTTATCGCAGAAAAAGTTAACTTAAGGTGGTTGATTATTTAATTTGACGGATATTAATTTTGTAGATTACAAACACGTAGTGGCATTTTTATCAGAATTCTTCTTAGTCGCGTTTCCGAAAATAACATGCTTCATTTGAGTATTACAAGCACGGTTTTTAAAATTATCTGAGGATTACTAAATTACAATATTCATCTGGTCGACCACGCTTACTTTGCGCCGTCGGCCGTCGGTTCGGTCATGTTTTCGATGATCACGTAAACATTTTTAATCGAATTGCATCATTAAATTAATAATTTCTTGTTGAAATAAAATCTTGAACGGTAAATAGTTTTTCATTTTCGTAGTATCAGTATATCTTAATATTTATAAAGAAATAGTTCTTTTTATCTTCTTTAACCACTGTGTTGCTACGCGCCGTCGCTTGCCGTCTGTAGATTTAGATATTTTCCGCCGGATATTCTATCAATTTATGATGATGCTTCACCCGTCGCTTACCTTATACAGTTGATGCTACCATCAATTAATAAATATATATTCACAATATATTAAAATGTAAGTGTTTTAATTTTGTAGCACGTTTTTGCTCAATTGTCCGATGATTTTCGGGTAAAATCTCTGATTTTATATTAAAATATTGTTGTTAATTTGTAAATTTCCCTCTTCATATTGTGAATATTGACTCCCTTTGTAGTTTTTTTTTGAAACACCTTGTATATTAGTTTTCCTAACAGCACGTAGGAACTCACCTTTAGTTGTGAGTTTTGAGTGTTTTATGTTTTGATTGATGGGATTTTCTTTCTAGAACACACTGTATATATGTTTTCCTCTTGCTTTAACTGTGGTTTTTAGTGTTGTACTCTTTGCACTTCGAATTATTATGTGTATTAGTTTCCCTGATTGTCGAGTGAGCGGCGTTTGTAGTGTTGAGTTTTTTGTTTGCACTTTAAATTTTCCTTTTGTAACATCCTGTATAATTGTTTCCAATCATCTAGAAAATTGGCTATTTACTAATTTCATTATTCCGGCAGAACTTTATGAAGTAGTACTTACTGGCATGTGCGCGGCTATGCAGGTCGTAAGTCCTGCTTCAATAAGGCGGCGCGTATTCTGTTGATTTGTAAAATATAAACTTGTATTCTATTGCTAATAAATAAATAGTAAGATATATTAACTTCTTTGATTTATGTACCCCTTCTATCATTTCAGGAACAGGTCTCTAAGAGTTCCCTCTCTCAAGGGATGATCCCTACTACAAAAATTGTTAAGGTATCCTGTGTGATTTGTGTGCTCCTTCTTTCATTTCAGCTACAGATCAGAACTTGTAAGAATATTTTTAAGTGTCACCTCTCTTGAGGCGACTTAAAACTTACTAATATTTGAACAAGACCTTATAAGGATTGTCCTTATAAGGAGTTCCCTCTCTCTGGGGGTGATCCCCCACCATAAAAATTGTTGATATGCCTAAGAATACTGGGGATGAAGCGCAGAGACATCGTAGCTGTAGGATGGGCCGGGAGCAATGGATGGATCGGAGTTGTAGACTGTCTTATAACGACACGCCGTCAAAAAATTTAAAAATCTGATTCTCCCCTGTTCTCTTTCTTCCATTTCCTCCTCTTCTCTATTCTGTTCTCTGCCTTCTATCTTCTTCTCCTCTTCTCTACTACTCCTTATTCTTCTATTTCTCTGTTCCCGCTCCTCCACTTACTTTCTTACTTCTCATATTACCTTCACTTGTATTTCAATTTCTCTTATATTTCGTTGCAATTCATATATGCAACCTAAATTACACCTGATATTTTTATATTTGAGAAAAATGCCTCCTATATCTGAGATTCGATCCGTGCCCACTAGCATGCTAGCAGGTGCACGTACCCACTCGACCACCGAGTGTTTTTATTATTTATATTTGATTCTTTTATTTATGTTTCTACTTTAATCAACTTTTAAAACAATAACACAAGCCTTAGTTATGTTGCACACGCTCCACGCACTCTACTATACTATGTTATACTATCGTGTACTCTTTGAGTTCAACTTGACTTAATACTAGGGACACAAGTAAAGAAGAATGTAAAATTAAATTATCCTTTATTGACCAAATCAATTATAATTATTATGAAGCAATAACATGGTAACTGGTAGATTTAAAAAGTTAAATAAAAGTAAACTTTTATTTGATGCTACTTACTCCTTTGTTTTTGAATCAATAAATGACAGAAGAGCACAAACACGTTTCTGCAAATTGTATGTAGAATTGATGATACGCAGTTCTTTACTATTCTACGCGGAGATTCCAAATGTAGTAACTTGTATTCACGTTTAACAATTAAATTTAACTTGAGCTCCAATAAGTATCCATAGTCATCGAAACATATCCGACGAACGCCACGCACGCACCGCAATGAATCACTCAAATCATTCGTTGTGCGCTATACTGTGCGGTTACTATTCAATGCTTCTCATTGTCAATCGAATCTAGTAATGCTACAAAATATCAAGAACCGCGAGAAAGTGTCACCACGTTTGATTAATGAACAAAACACGTGCACACTGGCAACAGCACTCAACCGACTAAGCCGAACTAAGCAATACAGATTGATAATTAATCGACCCGCAGATGGAAAGGCATTTTTCTATATGCATACGACAGAAATGCGATTACAAATATATTGCAAGTTATCAAGCTATCCGGTGAAGTTTACAAAAAAATATTTAAAACAAAGGTTTTTAATTAACGTACTGCGGTAAAATACCACCTTTGTGGCTTTTCCTTGTATTAAACAAAGATGTTGTATATGACAATGCTAAACAACTAGAATATTTGGAATCACATGGAATAATGGTTGTCCTACGACATCGGGTTTGCCCGCTAGACACCTAAAACAACCGAAAATTAAAGCATTCGAAGCCCAAATATACAACTTTTGTTAGTCATTGTTTTGTTAAACATAAAAGTTGTGTATATCGGTGACGTACGCACCACAACTCAGCGCACTAAAAACAACAAAAACTAAGTGTGAATTTAAACCAAATCGTGACAGCGCCATCTGACCGTAGCGGAACAAAACAAAGTAGATAGCTGACACTAGCGCTATCTGGGTGTGACGGCACAAAACATTAAAGATAGCCGACTAGCGTCACCAAGTTTTGAAACTCAGAAATTACCCAGAAATCTACATTACGCCTGCTGACTGCCAAAAATCAGTACATCTAAGCACAAAAATTATCTTTTTGCAGGTTTCCCGTGAGCAAATCACACAAATTATAAATGTAAATGATATACAAATTCAATACTTACAATCTGATAAAAACATCGTTGTCCTATGACATTTCGTTCGCCCGCTAAACACCTAAAACTGCCAAAAATCGGAACATCGAAGCACAAAAATTACCTTTTTGCCGATTTCCCGTGTGCAAATCACACGAATTATAAATGTAGCTGATATTCAAATTCAATACTTACAATCTGATAAAAGAATCGTTGTCCTAGGACATTTCGTTCGCCCGCTGGCCACCTAAAACTAACAAAAATCAGTACATCGAAGCACAAAAATTATCTTTTTGCAGGTTTCCCGTGTGCAAATCACACAAATTATAAATGTAGCTGATATACAAATTCAGTACTTACAATTTGATAAAAGAATCGTTGTCCTAGGACATTTCGTTCGCCCGCTAAATACCCAAAACTGCCAAAAATCAGTACATCGAAGAACAAAAATTATCTTTTTGCAGGTTCCCCTGTGTGCATATCACACAAATTATAAATGTAAATGATATACATATTCAATACTTATAATCTGATAAAAGAATCGTTGTCCTAGGACATTTCGTTCGCCCGCAAAATACCCAAAACGGCAAAAAATCAGTACATCAAAGCACAAAAATGATCTTTTTGCCGGTTTCCCGTGCGCAAATCACCTAAAAATAAATGTAAATGATATACAAATTCAATACTTACAATCTGATAAAAGAATCGTTGTCCTAGGACATTTCGTTCGCCCGCTAAACCCCTAAAACTGCCAAAAATCAGTACATCGAAGCACAAAAATTATCTTTTATCATATTAAAGATTATGAAATTATATTATAAAAATTTATCAACTAACTATTCGAATGCGATGCAACAAAAGTTTTGTACGGTCAATCTCATGCGTATAAAATTTGAAAGCGCCATCTTGTTGTGAAGGGTTAAAATGGGGTATTGCTATTTATGAAAATTACAGTTTTCTATACCGCGTTAAATGACTTACATTAACCACACAAGACTTCTGCTGTTCTTCGATCTAATTAAATTGAAAACAAAATAAAGTGCTGCAATATCACCTTCTTTGTTCAGCCTTCCTCACTCGGTTTATGATTATACAATATATTTTGCAGTCGGTCCCAGATCCAGCAATTTCACGTCACTATATAAATCTAAAAACCACAGTGGTAAAATGAAAATCGCAATGTTACGCCTTCCTTTACAGTCCATAACAATATTATAATTACCCAAAAAAACTACATCACTTACATATTGAAACAAATTCGACAATCCTCCAATAGATGTTGTCAACAATTGTGTAGCAACCTGAAGATGCTTCTAGTTCTGCATTGCTATTGATCAACTTTCCAACTTTCAATGGAAACCTTGCAAGGTAAAACCTGAAGAATTGGCTTTTGTCGAAGTGCCATGTAGCGCCATACATTGTGACAAACCTCTTCTTCAGCCACCTATATGAAAACATATTAACTTTAGCATAATCCTTACATCTTATCCGACAAAACCGTAATGCAACTAGGATTCAAAGGATTGCGAATTAAAGGACTGAAGAAGAACAAGAAATTGCACGTGAAAAGCGAGGCAGAACAAAGTTTGCCGGGTCAGCTAGTATATTATAAAATGCGAAAATGAGTATGTTTGCTTATTCTGTATACATAATATAAGGGTATTGCAAGGAACACAGACACTATATTATAATTTTTTTCATTTGTCGTGATATTTTGATTTCAAATGTATCCTAAACTAAAAGCAAAGGAGAGAGAGCAAGATTGAATATTTTTAATCTACGGGTATTTCAGGTTAAGATATGATATCAAAATTGAAAAATAATTCATAAAGAAAATGGACAAAAGTAGGGGTCACCTGTGCATTCACTCTCGTACGGTGCACCGAATTAGAGTCAGCTATGCATTCACCCACGTAAAATACCGTCACCCTTGTATGGTGTCCTGAATAAAATTCACATTTACCGTCAGCCTGGTATGGTGCCCTCAATAAGAGTAGCTTTTACCATCGCCCTAGTACGGTGTGCTGAATAAAAGTTACTTGTACCGTCACCCACGTACGGTGCCCTGAATAAAAGTCACTTATACCGTCACCCACGTACGGTGCCCTGAATACGAGTCACTTTTACCGTCAACCTGGTACGGTGCCCGGAATAGGAGTCACTTGTGCATTCTCCCTCGTACGGTGCATCGAAGGAGAGTCAGCTATGCATTCGCCCACATACGGTGCCCTGAATAAGAGTCACCTGTGCATTCACCCTCGTACCGTGACCGAATGAAAGCCAGGTATGCATTTTATTCAAGATATTTCGATTGCAAATATTTCCTAAAGTAAGGGCGACCAACGGATTGAAAATTTTTAATCTACGGAAAATTCTCTTTACGATAGAGTGATAAAATTGGGAAAATGAGAGGAGTCGAAAATAATTTATACTTGATAATGTTTGGCGAGTATTCTCAATATCTTCTAAACTAAAAGCGGTAGCGACCAACCACCAACGGATTGAAGATTATGAAATTTCGGAAGTCTTAATAAGACAAGACAATGAAATATATTAATTTCGTTCCGAAACAGTAACTAAAAGTACTTAGAGAATATAATTTCATGGTTTTCAGAGTTCTTTTCGCTCGCGAATAGTTCTCAATATGTTGAGTTCGCGAGCTATCAACGACTTTGCAAACATATCTCTCAACAAACAAGTAGATTTGAAATTGGTAGTAAATATGTTATGTATTTTATGAGAATAAGGCCACTCTGTAATTAACAATTAAAAAACTAAGTGCACCAAGTCGATGGGATCGCTTTGGTTCAGGTAGTGAAAAGATTTTACATGAATGCAACACTAGTACAGCATGGTATCGGAATGTGTAACTACATGCGAATGATTATTTTCAATCATTTAAAGAACAAGATATGTATTAGGAAGTTAAAAAATAAATTACCTTCAGATTGCTAGAGAATCTCACTCGTGCTCAGGTGAACAGACACTTAAATTAAATTACATTGCAATGAACCACACCGACTTGAAATACAATTATTCTGAAACAACGTGCTGATCTACGAAGACGAGGGACGCTAACACAACGATAACAACTTTTTGACTTTGCACTTGAGTCGTCGTACCGAATGCGCCGAGTTCGCCAGCAGCATCAACAGCGCCAATGCGCGTGAAAGATGCGCGTTATACATGATAGAAAAACACGAACTGCGAACGCAATGTGTTGATGAAAACAGAACCTCACTTTTTTACACGTGTGGATCTAAAAGTTCCGGATAAAATATGGATCTGGAAGCACTAGCTAATACAGAAAGCAATATAAACTTTATTCCTTGTTTAAAATGGGTGAAACGAGGCGTCGCAAAGGCGAATCCAGAAAAAGTACAGCTGACAAAAGAAGAACTTGTTCAAATAATAAATGATACTAAATCCAAATTACAGTAAGTTATAATCATTTAGTTGCATTATATTGCAGGCAGTTAACAGCTAAAGAAAAATATTGTGGGTTTATTTTTTCTTAAATAGGCTTGCTGATCAAGAAGGTGAATCTTCAACCAGGAATCAGGAAACATCAGATAATATTGATGAGGAATTTAGTTTAGATAAATATGATGAAGAAGATGGTTAGTGCATTAGTATCTGTAAATACATATGTAACTTAAAATTACATCATTTTCAGAAAACACAGGGCTTCAGCAGTTGGGCATTCATAACATTGCTGAGATGCCAGCATCAGCTGAAGAGAATTTTGATGATGAAGATGATGATTCAGAAAAGGATGATGACATTATCAAGCCTAGTGATAATTTACTTTTAGTTGGAAGAGTCAACGGTGATGCAAGCATATTGGAAGTTTACAGTAATAAATACTTTTTTTCTATAGACTGTTCTAAGTTAATATGTGTAAAATATATTTTAGTTCATAATGAGGAAGAAGGATCATTGTATTGTCATCATGATCTATTTCTGCCAGCATTTCCTCTTTGTATTGAATGGATGGACTTTGAACCAGGCCAACCACAAGGCAACTACTGTGCCATTGGATCAATGTCTCCAGTAATTGACATTTGGGATCTGGATATTATCAACTGTTTAGAACCTGCATATACCTTGGGTAAAAAAGGTAATAAAAAGAAAAAAATTAAACCAGTTGGACATAAAGATGCTGTACTTGACATCTCTTGGAATCCAAACTTTCATCATGTCTTGGCTAGTGGTTCTGTAGACCAAACAATACTCTTATGGGATATTGAAGCAGGCAATCCATCCAATAAACTGACAGCATTTGAGGAAAAAGTGCAGTGTGTCAAATGGCACAAATTAGAAGGACATGTTTTGTTAGCAGGCTCTTGTGACAAGACAGCCAAAGTATTTGATTGCAGGTCAACAGAAAACAAGAGTTGGGATTTGACAGGGGAAGCTGAACGAGTTGTGTGGAGCACTACCGAACCATACATATTTTATGTGGGCACAAATACGGGAGGATTGCATTGTTTTGATTGCCGCAAAGGTGAAATATGGATGCAGAAAGCATACGAACAGGATATTACTGGGCTTTCATTCAGTAGTCAATGTCCTGGTTTATTATTAACCACATCAAGCGATGGCGTTATGAAAGTATGGGACGCCAATGGACAATCTAAATATGGAGCACAAATGGTATATGAAAAGGATTTGAAAATGGGTGTTTTGCATTGTATTGAAATGTGTCCAGATTCACCATTTTTCTTTGCTGCTGGCGGCGATAACAAGAGTAACAATTTAACGGTAGCAGATTTACTTTTAAATGACCCAGGTACATTTAACTCATGACTAATTTGAAACAAATATGTACTATATTACTTAAACGTTTTTAGTTAAACATTATTTTGGACCCAGGCCTCTAATAGAAACTGCAGTCGCAAGTGGTGAACCGACAACGTCAAATACCGAAATGGAAGTTACACAGGAATAATTTAAGAATTGTTATCTTATTGGTATTTTGTGAAAGAGAGATAATATAAAGCCTATCTGATTCAGTAACACAGTGTTAATTTAAATTCCGTCCATTGTTGTTTATGTTTCAATTTTTGATTAAAATGTCAACGCATTCATCCAATTTTGCCACTGTGATCCATTATTTTCTGCTGTGATAAGAGTTTGGTGTTGTATTCATTACTTTGCATAGCAATGTGATTTTAAAGTGAGGCTAGGAGCTTCTCATAGGCAACCGGTCCCATGGTGTAATGGTTAGCACTCTGGACTTTGAATCCAGCGATCCGAGTTCAAATCTCGGTGGGACCTTCCTTTTGCAAATTTCCTGGATATAATAAATCTTATCGTATTGTATACTATATCAACGAATGCAAATGATTTCGAATATTAGGAATAAACTTGTTGAAGCTCGATCTAAATGTACGTTTTGCCTGCGTTAACTAAAAATAACACGCGCTATAGTAGTGTACGGCGTGTTGCCGCTCTTACTGCGCGTTGTAGCGTACATTACGAGTGCGACGGAGTACGGCCTGTTTCTCGTTGTTGGTTGTTCTCCCATTCGACGAGCTTGGATTACGCATGCCTTGTCCGCTTGCTGCTGGTGGCACGGAGGCTTGCAAGAGGCCAACGGCGCGACGGCCGGACTCGACAGACTAGTCAGCCGCCGGTCGCTACAGTCGGGCTCGCGCTAGTGGGGTTAGGTGCGCGCTTCAGTCGTGTGCTCTTGCACGGCTACAACTCGAACGAACTGAATCACAAACAAACGAATTTGATTCCGAATCACCGCCGGGTTTTCGTTGATTTTTCATAAATCGCGAGCGATCGCTAAGATAGCAACGCTGTGTTCACTAACAAAAACGCATCGAATATGATGACCGACCAGTACAACAGCGGCGACGCTGGGTATACCGATGGATACATGGAGCAGGAAGAAGAATGGGAACGGGAAGGTCTTCTTGATCCCGCCTGGGAAAAGCAACAGAAGAAGGTACAATGTGTGTTTTGTTGCGTGCCACTGGCACTTTTACTAGCTGTGTGCGGAATCTGGATAGGCAATTTTGGTCAAGATATGAGATGCTGAAAGGTGCATTTTCAATCTGCGTTCGGCCCGGCTTTATTTATAAGCACGTCCAGCACACGGGCTGGCCCCGCAACTGCATGCGCACGGTATCGACGTATTTATTACTCTAGTTTGGAATGCATTCCGATTCGTTCGGGCGTCTGCTTGTGCTCTGCACGCGCGGCACGAACGACGAATGCAGCTGGCGAGTTCGCTCGCCCACACGCACATCGCAAGCGGTGTAAACAATCCCCTCGGCCGGATCTCCCTAACCTAGAACAACCCCGTTCAAGCCGCGCTGACTGAATGCAGACCTGGAAACCACTATGAGGCCACCCTTCTAATTCCGATCAGAATGCACTACTCATCACGCTCACGCATTGTGCGCTACGTGCGCACCCTCGTGTTGCACCGTGGCGCGTCCTGCACTCGACAGACAGGCGCGTGTTCTTTTTATGTCTGCCGCCGTCAGCGAATCTCACCCTTTATTGCAAAAACGCACCTGCTAGCCTCATGCAGCTTGCTTCCTCCACTCAGCAGCTGAATTGTTCCCAGCAGGTTTGAAAGTTTCATTTTAGTCAAATTACAACATATGAGTACAGACTTGAACACCGCTTGTAGTTTGTTTACATATTAATTAGTTAATTTATGATTAAAAGATTACCCCACGCGTTGGTGTCGTTCGGAGATTTAGATAAGAACGAAGCTCATCTCTCAGTTGGCGGCAACGTCGCCGTGCGTAACATAATATGCATGGGGGACTATTTTTGGTGAATCCCAGGAGAGACTACGCGCGTCTCTCGTCATCGGGTAGCGTGATGTAATGTGGTCGTAAGCGAGCGCCGGCAAGCCAAAAAATTTCCCAGCGCTTTTCACGTGCTCGTCACGAAATCGCGCGAAATTTCGAGAATTTACCATTGCATCGCGGCGTCAACATGCCAACACAGCAAGCCATCACAAACAATATCTCGATATTTCCCGAAATGCCATTTTTCTTAAAGAGCACTTGATATTGATTAATGTGCTATGCATCAAAGAGAAGCTCCTAATGAGCCGGTGAAATACAAGAAAAGCATATTGGACGTTTGCCATTGTCGCTGAAAATAGCTCAAATTTTAATAATATAATTCGAAAAGTTTGTTTAGGCGATGGGCTCGCTTTGCTTTTGCTCTTCGCTTTCATTCGCCTATTCCCGAGCCGGCGAGTCTCGTTGTTTATGCGGGCAATTTAAATTTAAAGTAAAAGCACGTTCAGCGCGTGCGCTGGCGGCGGAACGGAGACGGCGCACGCTGCTTGCGTGCTGCGGCGTCGAGCGTCGAATTTCCCATGACCATACAAGGATCCGGGCGTATCTCGCCGCCTCGCGCGCGCCAGCCCCGCATGACCGGTGAAGAAATCGTGCCGCTTTAGAAAAACATCGAAAGTAAACAACACACTACGCCCCCTCGCACAACGGGAGCTACACGCAGAAAACACGCATAAATAACGCACATCGATATGCGTCCGCGCGTAGTTATCGTTTTTTTCGTTGTTTTTGTATAAACAATAACCCAAGTTATGCGTGCTGGTTTGTCGTGTAACATGATGAAATACGATAGATACACACACGGCGTGCGCCACGAAGAAACAGAGGCATAACCGGTGGCGATGTTTTGATGTGTTGCGATGGCACATGGCATTCGGTAGCTTCAATCGTCGAAAATTCTGATTCATTTGTACATTCGTGCGTGCGCACTGCCCGGCCTGGGTTAATAACTCGTTTACGAGTCGCGCAAGCCAACGCCGAGCGCACACATGTATCATATTCGTCGAGAGTATGTATACGAATGTGATTTCGACATTGATTTATATTTAGCCATGCAGCGCCCACGCATTCCAACTTCACGCGCACACCACACGATCCTCGGTAAAATATAAACAATTATTTTGACACTGTCCGATTCCTACCTCCGGTCTATCACTGGCTGCATGCCGGATTCTGCGAGGGTGTGAATTGCGTGACCAGCCGGCGATTCACGACGAATTTTCAACATAATTATAAATATAAACAAAATTAGGTCTAGGCATCACGCGTCGCTATAAATTCCCGCGTCCCCGTCCTACAAAACATCCAGAAAATCATGTTACTATCGGGGCTCATCTTTATTTTATCTGCTAATTTGCGAATTTTCTAGAGCAGAAAATAACATACACCTAATTTTATTTTAACACTTTATATTTAATTTCTAGTAGTAATTGAAAAATATTAATGTCTTAACGAATATGAATTTAAAGTGGTTTATATTCGTTATAAAAATAATTTAGATATTGGCAACCACAAAAGAAAATAGATGTTTGCTTCCCTACTGTTTTGGTTAGTCACAGGCAGACGTCTTGGAAACATAAAATATTTATTTTTGATACATTTGGAGACAGTCAAATCGCTGCCACTCCGGCCTCATATTCATATCCATAGTTTATATGCTCATTTCACCACGATCACTCTACGGGTGTATAATATAATACAACATTCATGCGTTCATAAATATTTAACGATCGCGGAGAAGCTTCCACGTTTCAGGGGACCAAAACTCTTGATGAAACTCGCGCTGGTCGAGCTTTTATGTGTTACACATGTTGAGAGTATTCCTGTCAACGTTGTTAAAACATTGTCTCTCATCATAGGTTTGAAGCAATAATCTGTACCATGTTATGTGCGCTTTGTATAATCATCATTTATTTAAATAAACTTATTCAATTCGATTTGTTACGTTACGAGATTTACTGTGCAAATTTGATTGCGTAATCATTTTCTATAAACATATATCAACGTGGAATTTCGTCTTAGTCGCCTCCGACTGCATTTATAAACTTTCAATGATGAGGAAACGCATGCGTTGGATGTGTGGTAAATGCAATGTTGTCCCAGTTTTCACTAAAGCAATAAAATTTATTTGCAATTCTTATGTAACATATTTAGTTTTGATTATTATATTGATAAATATTAGTTAAATTATTTATCATTGTGTAAATACTTAAGTACTGCAAATGTGGATATGTCATCGGAAATGGCTTATTTTCTAGATTACTTATCTAAATCATGGATTTTCTCTATGATTGCCAAAAATAAAATTTGCGAATGCAAATATTGAACATGTGTTAATTAAATTTCTTACTGTTTGTTATCGATCTAGAAGTTTCCAACTGTCAATTATAAAAAAAAATAAACGTCACATAAAATGCCTTTAAATTTCCAAATATCACGTCGAGGTGTCATAATACTCACACTTATATTAAGCGCTTCCCTTGCTACGATAACAATTCTCATTTGCTGTATAGTTTTTTTCGTAGTAAGAGATAATTGAACAATTAATTTCAACTGCTAAATAATTTATGGGTGGAGGAATATCAGTTAGCGGTCCAACTGTGCCGAAGTACACGTGGGCGGACTGTCGAACAAAGAAGTGTCTCATTTTTGTCTTCGTTTGCATTGCCATCATCATCATATTGATAATAGGAGTGACACTGATTATAGTTTACCGAGATGAACTTTTTTCACCAACCATTGTCATGACAGAAGTGGATGACACTTGATATTCTACATGAACTTAGAACGTGTATTAAATATTGAAATTTACATTGGTATATTTTTGTATCGATTGATTAACGAAAATGATTCAGGTTGAATGTGTAATAAGATTGAACTTCAGCGATTAAGTCGTCAAATATGCGATACGTAAAGTACACGGCACGCTGCTGATCGTACGAGTAGATTGCTGCCAAAGTTGAATTATTAATTTAATCTCAAAGGCAGCTTTAATTCGCTATAAAATCGTTAGTGTATTTTAAGTACGTGCATTTTTGTTTAGTCGATCTGGCTAATCAAATGAAAATACCATGCGCTTCGATTAAAAGGCAATAAAATCGTACATCGAATGATTCTATGTTATGATTTATAGCGATTTGATTAAGTAATGTTTAATTAAATGGCGCTGAATATTTTGCATTCCAATGCGATTTACTGGTGCCAATATTTAGTGTTTACTGTTACACAAATTCTAAGTCTGATCAAAAATAAATATTTTATTGGAAAAAATATGGATATTTATGGCACAACCTTGTTTTGACTATTTGGGCACTTTTTAACATTTGGGTGCGTCCAATGTCAACCAAAATATTTGTGTGCATATTTATTTTTTTCAAAATTAGAGAATTTGTTTTTTATTTGGATGATATTAAACTATTACAAGTCATTTTGTGGGTTTGGTCATTGACTTCTTGTTTTGAACTAAATCATCTTTTTATACAATTCCCATCTTTTATCTCAATTGAGCTTTCGTTCTCATAATTCTACAAGAGTTTTGATTCACCTACGATTCGTATTTTTAAATAGGCATTGCAATTTGTTCCGGAGTCTTTTATCTAACTTAAATCTGGTTTGTGTATGAAATTAATTCGTGAATAATTCATAATTAGAAAGGCCGATTGTTCCGATCTTCGACCGTTTGTGTTGGTGCCATTCATATCGGATTATGAACGGTTCAAGCGTGCAACGAGTTCTCTCGCCTGTTGTTGTGGTTCTGTTACCTTGCGACCTTGACGCATTTTTACTGCATCAACCTTGATGGCGCTTTAATGACGCGATGGTGTGTTGCACATACACGCATGCACTGCGTTCCAATATCGCCGGTTAAAAATGCACGACGCGCTGTTTTTAAAGCCAACGCTTGATTGCACTACTGTGTAATGCGATATGATAACAGGAAGCATTGCAAGAAGCCTCATAATGTTATTGTTTCCCCGGCATTTCGGTCGTTTCCTTGTGAGTTCGATATCATCAACGTGACGCGCGGTGCAATAACAATGAAAATGTCGCAAGCTCACGCTTTGCAATAAAATAAAATAAAGACTTGTAGAAAATCCTAGAAACATACGCAACTGGTACATAGTTATGTTATGACAGTGCAATGTCGCACAAAGCGATGTCTTTGTTTGCCATTGCAACGAAATAACAATGGTACTAAAATCACGTCGAATGAGTATTAGGCATTGAACGTCGATGATTAATAAAGTTTCGAAATGTTGAATGTATGATTTTTTAGAGTTAAAAGTCGAGCACGCTTTACTTCGACATCGGGCCGCGTGTCATGTCGTGCCGTTCCATCGATGAAGAAAGAAGGAAAGCAATCGTGACTTCGCGAGACTGGACGTCGCAAGCGCGGGTTTACACACCGCCGACATGTGGGCAAAAACACAAAAACAAAGACGCCATCAAGCCAATATGCTCGGCTCGGCAGCAAAATACGATAATGGTGTAACGGTAACGAACGAAACTGTAAACAGGGAAGAATCGAAGAGAGACAACCATCGAGCTGCTCCGCGGGCCGATGGAAAAAGCGACCAGTTTGAAGTTCAACTCGTTCGGTCTCGCGATCGCCGATGGGACGTGTTTCTGAACGCAATAACCTAGATTTAATTAATTCAAAGCTCGCTAATTGCCGCGAGTATCATCAGGCAAATGTACTAATAAACACGTTCGGCCTACATTTACTTTTAATTTTAAACTGATTCAATTTACGAAAACAATTTGTCACTCCGAAGTGTCTAGTCGTGCATATTTTTGTCTCCCATTGAAACGAATGAATATTATTTATTGACGAAAAAGATTCTCGTTACTTGTTTGTTATTTTTATACACTTTTCATCGTTGTGCATGCATAATTCATCTGCCAAATTCGCATGTTTTTTTTTTAAATTGCATCACAGGTTTCGTGGGCCGCAGACGTTTTGTACACAATTTGTAACATTAACTAGACGCGAATCGCATTCGCAACTGGCGACGTGGTGCGCGTTTCGCTAGTTAACGAGCGCAAGCGATGAACGGCGGCGTTTGTCCCTAAAAAAATATTTATTTTTGTCATCAGCCGAGTATGTAGACGATTGCTAGCAAGCCAAAATACATTAATTTGCATGCGTTATTTGTTATTTTTGAGGTAGGAATAAAATATCATGAAACGGTAATACTCGACCTTGACTAGGGATTTTTTGGAAGTAAGTAACTCAATATTATATTAAATGCAGATATATTTTGAAACGTTTTGAATATATTGAAATCTTGTCTGATCGACTGTTTGCACAGTTGTTAACGAAAGGAAACGAATATTTGTCAACTTTCGACGTTTTATCGCGTTTCTGATTGTATTTCTGAGAAGAAATTTGCGCGTAATCTTTCATTTATTTAATTTTCAATCATTAGAAAGCGTTAATAAGCTCTTCTTGCATTCAAGTGCACAATTGCAATCTCGTGGCCATTTCTTGTGCAACTAATGAAGGTTAATTGATTGATACTTGACTGTGTCGTCCCATCCATCTTCAATGATGGTTGCCAGACGAGACGAGACACGACCATAAGCAGCACAAATATTTACGCTGTGCATGGCTAAAACGACGAAAAGCTAGCGCAGAACGTCGCATTCCATCAACGTTAACACCACAACATTGAATATTATCCGGTTTTAATATGACTCGAGCGTCATCTGCTTCATTACCGGTGTCTAGGTCTCGTTCGACGCGTTAATTACGATTGGTCGCTGCGTGCGGCACTCACATCTATCAAGTTCTTCAAGAAAGCGCATTAAATCATTAATCGACCTGCTGTTTTTGGTATAAAATTCAATTCCACATACATTTCTTGTGGACACATTTCAATGGAAAAAATATTTACTCATTACGTGAATGGTGTATTTTTTATTACGTCGTTATAGTCTAAAAATTAAACGAATTGATCACGTATTGTGTTGTTGTGTTGTGTTCATTTGCATACAAAACATTTTAATGCGCATTAACACTACAACATATCATACAAAGCGAACAATCGTTCAGCGTTCGGCTGTAATTCGTTTTATTGGTGCGATGAGGTCGCATTCAACGCGTTGGTATTCAAATTATTTGGTTCACTATTGGAACAGGCGCCTAACAATTCAGCGTTGTTGATTTTGGCAACGCGACTGTAGGTAGCACTTCATTAGCTCGTTAAGATTTACAGATATATATCAATGACATTCAGGAATATTTTCTTTTTAAATTTATTTAATAATAACGTATGGTTTAAACTTAATTAAGCATCATTCATTACGAACGTTTAATGTGGCAATGCGATATACACAGGATCCGACATAATAAAGTTCTCATATGTTTCATCCGATGATTATTATTGCGGCATTATGCTGTCGAGTTTTACAGTGCGCTCATCTGTTGTCTGAGGTCCTCGTCGACGGTCGCAACTTCTTCGCCTCTTCAACGAGTTGTTAACGTCGGAGGCGCACTTACGCTTCGTTACCGCACATATGAGGATGCATGTAGGATGTGTGCTCGCTGGAAGTGGATGCGATGCGCTGTGCTGTACCGTTAAAGAACTACGGTGTGGAGGCATTGTTCGCGTATTGTTTTCGCTGTCGCGCTTCACTCTCATCCACAGCTCTTCACGTTTTTATGAACGAAACGACCGGATGCTGATATGTTAGATGCCACTAATGTAGTTAACTCTTCTCGACTCAACTATAATACAGCAGCCGCAGTTTGCCGTTGTTTTATTTGCACATTAAACATTTCTGTATACAGAACTTTCAATATCAACAAATACACAATAAAAACTTTGTTGCAAAATGTGACTTTTAGTGTGATTGTTCGAAAAGCAATTATTTTTGGGTTTGATTTATGTCAGTGATAGATTTGTCAATGGTTCGTCGAAACTTGCACTCCGTAAGCTTGAATTGGAAGAACACTAATATTAAGGTAGTTGATTTTGTTTGATTGTAATATGATACCATCTATTACATGAGTTCTACGAATGTAGAGTGGGATGTTTCACTCGTGCATTCCAAGTTGTTTTGCACAAATAAAAAACGTGCGCACTGGGCAAAAACGAAATTTATCTGCGGCTATTGCATAAATGCACTTTGGCCGCATGCCCAGCCAAATTTTACAGCTAACGAATTCGTACAAAAAAGCACCTTGTGACTCATCACACTTCATATGAAACTAGTAAAACCACAAATTGCACGATATACTTGCGGAAAATGGACAGTTTGCATTCACATTCCGACATTTCTCACTCCGACGCGTTCATAAATGAGCTCCAATACCGCATTCACATGCGTCTAATGTATCCGAATGCACCTATATTAATGCCAACTTTATTACATACTTCAAAGCCACACACCGGGCGGCCTGTACAGGATACTTGTAACACGTAACGTGTGCGTAATAATATATTTCCTGAATGATCATTATGCAAAAATATTCGGAACGGCCGATTAAATTTCACGCCGACCACTTTACGCGCCAGTTTACACTTTTGCATTGATTCCACAAGCTGTCCAACATGAATATTACATGAAAACATTATAAGCCGACAATTAGACGGCATTTACGCGCTCGCTGACTCGGACACTCGGTTATTGGGTGTGAACACCATGTACACAAGCACGAAAGTAAAATTACGCCGAGTCAGCGGAGAAAGAAATAGTCAAGTAGCGAAGAAAAAGGTGCAAGCAGAGTCCGCACGCGAAATCGAATCAATTCGCAACGAGTTGAAATGTGAAGGTGCATTTTCCGTTCGCGGTATGCCAGTGTGCTAATGTGAGCCATGGTCATAAAGAAATCCATTTTGTTTTCGTCCACGAGTTCGCGATAGAAGTTACGATAGTAGTTGTAGCGCAGAGAGCAGGAGCAATTGGCATTTATTAATAGCTGGCGCGCCGTTCAAACTGGCATCTTTAATCCCGTTCCACATTTTATATTTAGCCCTGCGTGCGCTGTGAGATATTCGGATATTTGAAGAAATTCGTAAAATTTGACTCACTTTTCACATGTTTTTCTGCGGTTTGTAGTACAATTTTCGCATTCTCGATCGATGCCTGATGTCACTGATCATTTGTAACAGCTCATTCAGTGTACTGAAGCAAAGCGATGCGAACGTTTACGAGCCATAAACTCGTATAAACGAATTAAATGTTTGAAATATTATTATTAACGTGTGCGTATGACGTGCGCTTGGAGAAGCTTCGCGTGGCGGGTCGCATATTGTTTGGTTATTCATTCCGACCATTTGTTTTCCTTTCGCTTGGTATCCGGCCAAATTGTCTTAAAATCCCAATATCCGTTTTACGTTACACATTACGCGCCGGCGTTACGCAACGCCGTAGCCTAGCTAAAAATATGGCGAGCCAAGGCGGTTGGAGGAGTCGAGCGAAACACTTGTCGCTCACGTCTGCTTGGTCAATAGCCCCCTCGCCCTAAGAATAATACCGGCACGGCTATGATTATCAAGCAGCGAAAAGCCAACGAATTTCGCCAGTTGCGTAGTAAATCATGCGTGACTTCCTAGTATCGCCAGTCGCGATTTTATCGCCGGCGTTAATCCAACGATGAAATTGTACCTTTTATTTAGGCGTTTTATCGCCGCACAGACGGCGTTCAAAATATGGTACTTTGTATTTTTAGTCGAATGTCCGGCTCGTTCATGTCACCGCATAACAAATATCCCAACAGTTGGCTTGCGCGTTCGCAATGTTATTAAGTACGTTATTAATGTCGCGCGACGCGTGCCGTTCTTCGGCGATGTCCGATGTTGATATTTATCGCTGTTGACTTGTCTTTTCCAGACATTTACTGCTTGGTGTAACAGTCATCTGAGGAAAGCAGGCACTGGCATTGATAACATCGAGGAGGACTTCCGCAATGGCCTCAAACTCATGCTTCTTCTGGAGGTCATCTCCGGCGAGACGCTGCCGAAGCCCGACCGCGGCAAGATGCGTTTCCACAAAATCGCTAACGTTAACAAGGCCCTCGACTACATTGCCGGCAAAGGCGTCAAACTGGTCTCCATTGGTGCTGAAGGTAAATAGGCCTTTTATTTTCCCAATGGATAAAAAACTACATTATTTTTGGGTATTTTAATTTAGAAATCGTCGATGGCAACCTCAAGATGACGCTGGGTATGATCTGGACTATTATCCTGCGTTTTGCTATTCAGGATATCTCCGTTGAAGAAATGACCGCCAAGGAAGGTCTGTTGCTCTGGTGCCAGCGCAAGACTGCACCTTACAAGAACGTGAACGTGCAGAACTTCCATCTGTCCTTCAAGGATGGTCTGGCCTTCTGCGCCCTCATTCACCGACATCGCCCAGATCTCATTGATTACAGCAAACTGTCCAAGGATAACCCGTACGAGAACCTAAACACTGCCTTTGACGTCGCGGAGAAGTACCTCGACATTCCTAGGATGTTGGATCCTGACGGTAAGTGAACCAGAGCTGCAATCAAGTTTCTTCAATAGATCTTAAATCAATCACATCCACCTTGATATTGGACAAGTCTAGATACAATGTAATGTGTATTTCCAGACTTAATCAACACTCCTAAGCCCGATGAACGCGCAATTATGACTTATGTGTCATGCTATTATCATGCGTTCCAAGGAGCGCAACAGGTAGAGTTAGATTTTGCTGCAAACAGCGCGTTGCCCCCTGAAATGTTTTCTTGATCTAACAATGTGTATTCCGTTTTATCGCCCTAACATTATGTTTTTTCTACGGAATAAGTGCAAAGTGTTTTTCGATTTTTATTTTTTTTTAATTAACATTTTTGCTGTTGCCTACGCAAGTAATTAATATGTATCGCATGCAGACTTACAGAATACCGCCATGCCCGACGAACGAGCTGTTATGACATATGTATCGTCGTACTACCATTGTTTTTCTGGCTTGAAAAAGGTGATTACTATTAACCATTTGTACAGACACACCTGCAATTTAATAATAAAAATATATATCAAGTAAACAATTACAGTCACTGTGCAATGATAATTTTATAATTACTCACGAATATGAAAGTTGTTTTTGTTGCAATTAAAAATTATCTAGCAACATTTTAAAATTATGAGTTAAATTGCACAATGCATTAATTGTATTTCAATATTTCTGAGATGAGCTAAAATATTTTGTTTAATCTAGGCGGAAACTGCAGCCAACAGAATCTGCAAAGTCTTGAAAGTCAACCAAGAAAATGAGCGTCTTATGGAAGAGTACGAACGCTTGGCTAGCGACGTATGTATATTTTATAGCTTGCTTTGATTGTAAATGTACATTGAAATGTTTATACTATTAGCTCCTTGAGTGGATTCGTCGCACCATGCCATGGTTGGGCTCACGTCAAACCGACAACTCGTTGGCTGGTGTTCAGAAGAAGTTGGAGGAATACCGCACTTACCGACGCAAGCACAAGCCACCACGTGTAGAACAGAAGGCTAAGTTGGAAACGAATTTCAACACCCTTCAAACTAAATTGCGTCTTTCGAATCGCCCTGCTTACATGCCAACTGAGGGCAAAATGGTTTCTGTACGTAAATATCAGGAATGCTCATTGAAATATGGTTTTAATTGCGTTTATTATTAATAGGACATTGCCAATGCATGGAAAGGTTTGGAAACAGCCGAGAAGGCTTTTGAAGAATGGCTCTTGTCGGAAATGATGCGATTGGAACGTTTGGAGCATTTGGCTCAGAAGTTCAAGCACAAGGCCGATGCCCACGAAGAATGGACCCGTGGCAAGGAAGAGATGCTGCAAAGCCAGGACTTCAGGCAATGCCGTCTCAACGAACTAAAGGCCTTGAAGAAGAAGCACGAGGCCTTTGAATCTGATCTGGCCGCCCATCAAGACCGCGTCGAACAAATTGCCGCTATTGCTCAAGAACTCAAGTAATAAATTGATTTCAATTCACGTATTATTACAAGTTTCTTAACAATTCTTCTTTCTACATCAGCACATTGGATTATCACGATAGCGTCAGCGTGAATGCTCGCTGTCAACGCATCTGCGACCAATGGGACAGGCTCGGCGCGTTGACTCAACGTCGTCGCCAAGCACTCGACGAAGCCGAAAAGATTTTGGAGAAGATCGACATCTTGCACTTGGAGTTTGCCAAACGTGCTGCTCCTTTCAACAACTGGTTGGACGGTACTCGCGAAGATTTGGTTGACATCTTCATTGTACACACTGTTGAAGAAATTCAAGGCCTTATTGATGCTCACTCTCACTTCAAGGTACGAAGTTGCTGATCAAGAAACATATTTAAATATCCGATTACTGATGGCTAATGTTTGTAGGCTACTTTGGGCGAGGCCGATAGGGAATTCCAAAGCATTGTTGGTTTAGTTAGAGAAGTGGAGGCTATTGTCAAGCAACATCAAGTACCCGGAGGTTTGGAAAATCCTTACACAACTCTCACAGCACATGTAAGTATTAATGCAGATATAATTATTATGTCATATTAGTATAGTCATTAAATATGCAAAGGCAGTAAAGGTTGAATAAACTCATTATGTGTTAATATCGTTAATGTCAATACCCAAGAGACATTGATAACTATTTACTGCCTTTGACTGTGGTGTTAATTATTGCAATGAAATACGGCATATGTTTTTGACGCTTGTGCCGCCAAGGAAGGAATAACTGGCAATCTAGAGGTAACAGTGGAGTACTCTAGATGTCTTACATATTTTTTAACGTTTGAGATAATATCTTCGATATACTTTGTAGGACTTGACCAGGAAATGGGCTGATGTAAGACAATTAGTTCCTCAACGCGATGCCACCTTGCAAGCTGAACTTAGGAAACAACAAAGTGAGATCCAAAAGAAACTTTTTATATTTCTTATACTGATTTTTCCCTTTGTAAACAGACAATGAAATGCTACGTCGTCAATTCGCTGAAAAGGCCAACGCTGTTGGTCCATGGATCGAACGTCAATTGGATGCTGTAACTGCAATCGGAATGGGTCTCCATGGAACTCTCGAAGATCAATTGCACCGTCTCAAGGAATACGAACAGGGCGTCTACGCATACAAGCCGCATATTGAAGAACTCGAGAAGATCCATCAAGCCGTGCAGGAAAGTATGATCTTTGAGAACAGGTACACGCAATACACGATGGAAACTTTGCGCGTCGGCTGGGAACAACTGCTGACCTCAATCAATCGCAACATCAACGAAGTCGAAAATCAAATCTTAACTCGCGACTCCAAAGGCATCACACAGGAACAGCTCAACGAATTCAGATCATCTTTCAATCACTTCGACAAGAACAGGACCGGTCGTCTCGCTCCTGATGAGTTCAAGTCTTGTCTGGTATCTCTTGGCTATTCTATCGGCAAAGACAGACAGGGTGACATCGATTTCCAGAGAATTTTGGCTGTTGTAGATCCAAACAGTTCAGGCTACGTGCACTTTGATGCCTTCTTGGACTTCATGACGAGGGAAAGCACCGATACTGACACCGCCGAACAAGTTATCGACAGTTTCCGCATTTTAGCTTCTGATAAGGTAAGTTGCACTTTTCTGCAAATGAATCAAGGAATGTACTTAAATGTTTTGATTTTCTCTTCAGCCATACATCCTGCCAGATGAATTAAGAAGAGAATTGCCACCAGACCAAGCGGAATACTGCATCCAGCGCATGCCACCATACAAGGGCGCCAACGCAGTGCCCGGCGCTCTCGACTACATGTCCTTCTCAACGGCACTGTACGGCGAGTCCGATCTTTAAGTGCGGTGCGCGCCACCCCATTCAACTGTAATTTAACATATTTTAATCGATTGTGGATGCCATTAGGGTTAAGCGATTCAACTACTACTCCTAGAGCAAGATCGAAATCCTTAGCCTGCGTAAAACCCCTCAAATTATCCTCAAAAATCAACACAAACACAAAAATAATTAATTTATTTTTATTTACGCAAGTGAACCAATCATTCTTTGAAATATTAATTTATATTATCCATATTTAGTGTGCCCGGAATGATTGGTTCATAATTGATAATTCGAAGTAATATTAAGGCAAAGAATTAAGTCTATTGTGTATTTATTTATTTTTTCTTTCTTTGGCTGCGTTTCGCTATCGAAGAAACAGTCTATGCGGAAGCAGCTTGAAACGAACAGAATCACGTATTTGATTGAACATCAATCAAACTCTACGTACTGAAACATGCGTACCGTAATTCTACAAATATTTTTGTTTATAATTTTAAGTTTAATGCTCTAATATTTTATTTGTTTACTATTTTATTGTACAGTACAGTCGGTAGCTACATAATAATGCTCTCTCTATCTCTCTTCACACTATTTTATTTGTTCTTGGAAGCTGTTTTGTTATTCTCAATAATTTTTAGTTTTCCTCGCATACATTTATTAATTTCACACAAACTGTATAGTTTTCATTATTATATTATTACTTATAGAGCATTTTATGTTTGAGGTTGAATTTATTATAAATATAGCGATTATTATGTGAAACTTGATAAAATTGAAAACAATAATATATTTACGAGAACTTCGACGTTTTATGGAAGATGGCACCAATGCCTCTTTGCGGGTGGCTTCAAAAGCTCATTCGGTTGAATAAAAATTCAACGTCCCAATATATATCAAAGGAAGGATTAATTAAAGTAATTAATGATACTTATATACAATCATACGAAAATCTTAAGAGACATATTCATTCATGACAACTATATTTACTCGTCTTATAGACACACCACGTAAACATAACTATGTCGATATATTGTCACTTTATATAATACACAAACATACGACACAAATATAAAATGAAATTTTATATTCTCATTTGTGTATGCCAACTGTTGTGATCACGGCCCATAATCCCCAACTTATTGAAGGATGCAAGAAAGTATCATCAAAGTAAATATTTCGTATTCATTTTGATTTTATTACATAAAAAATCGGTTTTATCGGTTGTTACACTTAATAACTTAATGCATGATCATTGTTGACACAAAGTACATAAATATTTTATATTCAAACATTGAACAAGTTTCCTATATATACAAACTAATATTTACACAATAAATTAACAAGTATCGATGTGTGATCATCGCGTATCTAGTATTTACACCCATACTACGGGATCAATTGAATTTTTGGAAGTATTTCTTAAATATTTAACGATGAGGACCGCAGATGCAATGCAGCTGGTCACAATGCAAGTCACAAGAAATAAAGTGAACATTGATGGACTTGTAAGTGGATATTCATTGACATTATCATCTAAAGAAGTAGATTTCTCAACAGATCGTTTCACCCTCAATTGAAATACAAGCTTTTTGCTATCTTTCTGCACCAATCCGTTGCTATCATATGCGGCAACTAGAATCTCATCGTACTTTGCGCCCAAATGTAAAATGAGTCGATGTTCAGTGGTTTGTTGTATCTCCTCCCACGCTGCGACCGAAGTGTCGTGAAATCTCGTCAGACCCAGCACGGCATATGTAAGTTTCGCCTGCGACATTGTCCAGGAAATAACGACGCCCTTTTTTGTCACTTTAGGTTCAGCCAGCTTGAGTTCACCGCCTTTTTGCGGCAACACTGACGAGGAAACAATTTTGGCCTCGGTGGCTGTTGTCGAACTTGATGTTGATGTTTCCTGCATGAATTTGCAAGCGTGCTGACATCCTTCCAGCTGTAAGACAAAACAAACGACGATTAATTTTGGATTTACAGCAGAAAAATTGAGCTTTAAACATTTAGAAAACTTATGATTCATTGACAAATCTGATTGAAACTTATTTATATCTTGCCATAGTAAAAGAAGTAGGTGTTATGTGTAACAAGATACTTCATCAGTGATAACGCGCTCCCTTTACCAAGTGGTTTTTTCTTTGCGTAAAACTTATCGAAAAGCGTTTCGAAAAAGTTAAATTCTAATCTAGAACTTAATAGTCGGCTAGCATTATAAATTTCTTTGATTCCACGCAGCTCTGAACGCATTTAAACGCTGACTTTATAGCATTTTACAATCTCGACTCGAGTTGCCTTTTGCTATATTAAACGTCGTGTGAAGCCTACATACGTCGCATAATATATTGCTAACAGATTGCCCGTCTCGAATTTCACACGCGCGTTTTCTTTTTTTCTATCGCGAGCGCTCACTGCAAGGAAAACTTAAAAAGATAAAACGACGAAACTTGACTGAAACGAACAAACACACATTATTCTTTTAGTTTATACTTGGTTACTTTCGTGGGTTCGAAGCCACGCGCCGTTTCTTTTCCAGCGGTAATGTGTAACATGTCGTTTATTGGGCGGACAAAGTTTTAATTTACGATGGTGACGCGAGTCTACAATGGTCACAGGATGTAATTCTTTTTAACAAACCGAATTGTTAATGCATTATTAACAAATCACACTGAATATTGTTTATTTTTGGACACATTTCTTAATACAATTACCAAAGAAGTTTAATTTGACTCTTAATTAAATTTAATTGGCAATGGAATATATCAAAATGCTTGAAACAGTATTAATACATCTTGTCCCCGTGTGAGCTCATATATTGTAAATGATATTTATACAATTTCCTATGATTTGATTAAAGATGGCGCGAGGATGTAGTTATTTGCATTAAATTTGGTTTGCATACATTGCATTCATTGTTTGCGTTTGAATCAATAAATATTATAGAGTAAAAAGCAAGCCCGCTCAAGGACAGTGCGCCCCGTACTTAAAATTAACTCTATAATGTGATACTAGATGCCGTACCATGTTCATATTTGCATTAAATTCAACTGCATTGCATTGTGCGATCGTGCGATCACCGGTTATCTGTCAGGCACCAGTTTTTGTGTTGTTTTCGTTGAAATGTAAACAAACTCGCATTTTTATCACAAGAGTATGTTGTTATTCTTCGAAGCAGTGTAACTCGTGTTCGCGCAAACTTACGTTCAATTTGCAAGATTTAAAAAATACAATTTCGAAGTATTAAATCTCTTACGTCCCATGATATATTCAAAAGTGTAAATAAGTTGGTAGGGATAACATTAATTACGTTGATTACGTTAAAATAATATAAACTGATGATCAATAAAAAAACTAAATACATATAATCCTATATACTTAGTTAGTTGTATAGTTGCGTGAAGAGTTATTTGCATTAAATTTCGCTTGTGAACATCGTGAGATGTGCGTTCGCATCAGTGAGTGTTATGGATTTCAAAGTCGGCACGGGTGTACCTGCGAGCTCAAGTATTGTGCGCATCATACTTAAGAAGAACTCTAGAATGTGACACTAGATGCCGTAGTAGGTACGTTTTGCATTAATTTTTCTTTAATCGATCGTACGATCGTACGACCACCAGATATCAGTTAGACACCAGTTTTTATGTTGTTTTCGTTGTATATGTAAACACAACTCGCATTTTATTTCGAATGCTGGTTGTAATTCTTCTACTCTGTGTATCACATAGAGCATAAAAATTTAAACTGAAATTTAAATCGATTATATTGTAATACTTCGCATCCATTAATAAATTTTCATGCAGTGTCGTAAATATAATCAAATAATATAACGCGTGACGTAATGTTCAACGTTTCCTATAACATTTTTCGTTATTTATGATTAGGAAGATGCGAAGAGTGCATCTACATAATTACAGTAATAAAATCGCGCATTATACACTTGCGGAAAATTTCCTGAGTGCTGAAAAGCTACAGAGCGTGCACATACAAATCGATAAAATCGAATTTTCGCTTTGAAGGCACCCTGTACGTATCGCATATTTCTTTCACGATGCGAGGCGGTCATCATTGTGTCGGGCGCGCATTTTCCGTCTGTCAATGAATTAAATTCGCGTGTGTACGAACGCCCCATGTGCATTATGTAACATTACCAACACGTTTCCCATATTAAGAATTTTATGTTTAATTTTATCGCTGGTCGTTATGAAAGGTATCATCGTATTTGCCACATTTCGCCCTTTCCACAGCACCGCGCCGTGCTGTGCTCGCGACTGCATGCGTATTTAAACGTATTGCAATTTGCAGTTTAACAAATTAACTGCGGCTCGACAAGCATCTAAACAAACTAAGAGCAAACATGCAATCTCGATAGAAGCGCCTGTATACTTTGCCGCACCGAGTAGACGTTATGTACACTACACTGACGTGACTTTTTGTAATAAATAATTTTGCGGAAGTTAAGTATGAATAATATGAGTAGGAGTATATACGAGTGAATAAAAACGATATTTTTTAGGTTAGAAACAGACAATACATCCCCTTAGTTCATGATGATATTCTATTTTCACTTCAATAATTTCATTTGATGTTGCAAGCGACAGTAAAAAAACTTGGTGCGTTGCCACTCGACGCATCAGAAGTGCATTTATTTGAAGAGGCGGTGCAGTTTATTTTGCTTCAAAAGTGGAAAAACTCTCACGGCCTTTAAAAGCAAAAGCGTTCATCGTCGTCGTGGTCGCAATGGTCGTCTTCAGCGAATATATGTGTGTGTGTGTGTGTGAGTCAACGCGCAACGCAACTGATACGTGTTTACGAAAATAATTGCCCGATCGGATGCGCGGTCACGAATTGTGTGTTTTTCTTGAAAAATACTTTTACTCCGAGCGCGCGAAGGTACTCAATGCCTCTCGCGCGCACCGCGGCCGTGCATCTTGCGATCCTTGGCATCAACATCAACATCGAGCATCTTTGCCATCAACATCCCGAGCATCGATCGCAAACATCTAACTACCACCAGGCCTTTTCTTCTATTCTGGGCCCGTTCGAAGTATATCTACTGCATCTTCAACTTCACCTTTAACTCGCTTTACTAAGTTCAACTTTTTATTTTCAGTTTACGCTTTATTTATTTTTCCACCTTTTTTTAATGCACAGACAGAAAAATACAAAGTACAAAGCATTTTATTGCTTTGCGTCAACGTTTAAACATTGAACATTCTAGCACTACGGTTTTAAGTTTATCGAGGATTTCTCGACCGTTTCTATATTTGATTTGAGTCGAAATAAAACACGATCGATAAAATAATTGTTACTTTAACGGGCGTGCAATTAAGTTTCTAACACGGCTGTGTGTTAAAGGCGTTTTAATCGTTTTTCGTTTTGATTGAATTTTTCGAACTGTTTGTGCATTGTCTTGTTGTTTCGCTGAGCGGGGCTGCCTTCTTTGTTGCGATTTAAATTGAACTTTAATTTAAATAAATGCGGCAACGCGTGTTTAACACAACGCCATTAAAACAAATCGTAAAATAATCCCAATCGCATCGTTTATCTACGTTATTATCATGGCTTTTAACATTCTTCATTTTATATTTTATTTAGGTAGAACTTAATACTAAGTGTTGCATTTACTACTAGCAAGAATAATCATTTATAACAATTATTCTTTATAATTCTGTGTAATATCTAATTTAAACGTGCGTTATTCAAATTCAGAAATATTGTTGTAATTTATCGCGTCAAGTGCCTATAATATTATTTTTTAGAACTTTAAATGAATAGACTGTACATATTTCCAGTGATAATAATTAATCCACATGTGGGGAGGACGTTTTCAACCACAAATCGTGTCCAACTTATGGGTTATTCTTCGTAATGTGCGTTTCGCATTACAGACCGATTACCGAAAGCACCGTATCGCCGCGCGGCAAAAGTGTAAATGATTCGATGATACCCGCCGCTTGAATTGATTCGCAGTTAAGAAACGTGCAAACGAAGAAGGCAGCGCATCGCCGCGTCACACAATGATCGCGATTGTCATCGTTCAATCGTATTTTCTTTCATTCGTGCAACACGCCCTCCTCGCGAACGTGTTAAGATTTCACCGGCAGAGGACGTTAAAAGAATCGACAATCGATACGCGTCTTTTCGATCGCGATACGTATGATGTGTGCGCGCAAACATGACTCGAATGTATGTGGGATTTAATTTCTTCTCCCTGCTGGACAAGTCTCGACGATAACAATGTGCAACAGAATGTAGGAACTCATGGGCTACTTGCTACTTGTTCATAATTCATTGTCACTTGTACATCGGAAGGGGCAGCGCGCGATTTAATGGGCAATGAAAGTCACACTTAATATGTTAATTAATTAGCGGTTTGGTGTATTAGTATTGTGGTATTATCGTCCACATGAGCGTGCGCTTGCTACATTGACACATGACGTTTGGTAGTTCCCATTGTAGGTAGATAGTTAACGATATTGCCGTCATCCGTAATGGTTTAACATTTTGTCCACCTTAGCGCTAAACTAATGGTCATAAACGACGAGGTTCGTTTGCGTGTGTCGTTTTATTTTCGATTGTTTGTCTCGTCCCATAGGACATAGGACCGTGTTGGTTGTTTGGAGAAGATGTAAGATGTGTATGCTCGATTCGCGACCTCCGCGTGGTTGTTCTCGGCCGTGTCTCGTTACTTTTCAGTGTTTTTTCACGTTCCGCGTCGCGGCCGTGTTCGTTTTACCTCCATGTGTGCCATGTTTGCCGCGGCCCACACGGTTCCCCATACGAGGTGCGAGTGTATTTAGCATGCGCGACAATTAAAGTCACTCGGTGTGTTTTATACGGCGATAATGTTGCCAAACGGGCGAGAGTCGTAAAAGGTGAAATACAGGCACTTGTTATAAAACACCTATGCGTTTCGCTGGTCCCATCCTGCGATCGAGGACGGATGAGCAAACGGCTTCGATATAAAACGGGGGAGGTTCTTGAAGAACGAAGAAAAGTTGAGAAATACGCGAAACGCGGAGGTAAGGTTTGGAACGAAACCTCGTACAAGAATTGTTAATGTTCCCGCTCCAATAAAAACACACGTTCGACGTGATAAACTCGGCCGTTTTATTCTCTATCGAAATCGACAGCGCGCCGAACGACAAGGCACGTTGTTAAGCAGCGTGCTGGAAACGGCCGGAGGAAGCTGAAGAAACGACACGAGCGTGTGCTTTGCAAACACAGAAACAGAAAGACAAACGTCGAAACGATGGGTCGCGGAGGAGCATAAAATTAAATGCCACGTCGTGTGGAAATTGTAGGTGTTAAGGCATTTATGGGGGCTTATCTCGTCTCGTGATCGATTAATCTTTGAGGGAATATTCATCAGTCAAAGCTCGTAAACGAGACGAAAAAAAACACACACCGGTGCGAACAACGACGCATTCAGGTAGTACATCATTAATATTGAAGATAAGCAAAGTGAGGAAATCGGACAAATAGTCTTTGTTTTCAATTCACTGTTTATCTGACCGATGATAATGAACAGGCAATGATTTTTTATGTTCAGTGGGAACCTATTAATTTAAACTCTTGCCTTTTAAGCCCTGCCAGGTATTAAATAAACTTTGTGAATAATTTCCATGTAAATAGAAAGAAAATAAAATTGTGAAAAAAGTTTCCCGGCTGTTATCAAACGTGATGGACGCAAAATAAACAAAAGCGAGTTGTTTAAAAAATGCGTTGTTTCGTTGTTATCTATGAATATTCAAAAAGCGTGAAACAAGGCAGCAAAAAAGCGGCAACTGTTGTGATGTTTCGACGATGAGCAACGAGCGAAAGCGCGGTGGCCGGTAAATTCGCTTAATGTCTCCCCCAAGTGCAATAACAGTTTGGTCTTACGCGCGCGGGCCGCGGAATTTTACGACACCGCTCGGGGTAATCGCGCAGGGGGTGCGAGATATATGTGTGCGCTTCTACGGCGCTTCGCACGGCGCATTCTCGCGCTGATGAGCCACGAACGGGAGGTGGACGTGAAACAACCACAAACACGCCGCGCAAAAACACAAAAACTCCATAAGCATAAAGAAAAACTTTTTGGCGCGCCCGGGCGCGCGCAATTTGTGGCGTGTTTGTTTTTATGGTTCGAAAAGCAACAGCGGGCTGAAAGTTTAAGCGAGCGCTAAAAAGCAACACTTGGGTGGGAAAACCAGCGCAGGAGGTAGAAACGAATGCGAGGAAGCGATGCACACGAAGATTAATTAACGAAAATTAATTACTCACGCAAATATCGTCGGCGCACATTTGGCTGCGCGTCAGCTCGAAGACGGCGAGGCTCTCGCAGTAGTCCCAGCACTGTAACACAAGAAAGAAGTCAGAATCGACATGCTAATTACCTGAAACGAATGCGATTTATTTTCCAACTTGTGATTTCGGTTTTTGCCGTGTGCATGCGTCGAACACCATGCTACCTACATGTGCGGTATTAATAAATTTTATATCCAATTCCAATCCGGGACCAGTGTGTAAGGATGTGAATGTTTAATGTGAGGGACGGAATGGTTGAGCTGAGGAATTTCGGGCTGAACGCGACGTGCATTCGAACGATGCGGTGCCAAATTGGTTTTGTCTTAACTTTATATTAATTGCCGTAATTAATTCTAAACTTTGACTCATCGTAAAATAAATTATATCGGCACAAAAAAGAGACCACGATGCGGAATTTTACAATCAAAATTTAGTTAGCAGTTTATCACGGGTTAAGTTACGTGAAACTGCGACTTTACACCGACTTGTTGCTAGTAAAGGCAAAGGGTAACATTCAACCAAAGTTGTCGATTATTACCAAGAGCGTGTATTGATTTACGTGGAAGGAACAATTAGTACAGTTATTTATGAACAGTAAATTAATTCATCTTTAACTCTACCTAAAAATAGTATACACAATGTCGTAATCGCAAAGTTCATACTTTTTTGTGAGTCCAAAATTCGTTTTGCGAACATTTTTTTGATCCAGCGATAAGCAAATTGCGGTGTAACTTAAGCAAATACATGCTGTTTAACTAAATACGTGCCTAGGGCACGAAGCAGTCGTTTTTTACATATTAAACCAACGTTATAATCAATACGCGAACCGAATGTGTGCACAACGGAGCGCAATATCTTTGGCATTCTGAAGTCGACGGCCAATCGCGCGCGCTTATTATTAAATTTTTCTTTGGCTGCATGCACGGCGTTCGCATAGTGGAGCGATAAAAACGCGCGCCCGCGCTCAGAAATTGCTTTATTTTATTACCGAAATCATAGTAATTACCAGCGAGCGAGTTTCGTGAAGAGATGGCCGCGGTTTGAACGCGATTGCAATGTTGGTTGCCTGAGTTCGCGAAGCAAATATGAAGTGGTTACAATTTACAATGGAAGGCCCTGTTCGATGTAGTCAAATATACATTTGTTAATTTACTGTTAAAACTGTACGCTTCGATCGGCTTTTGAACTGCTGCGCGCTGGGAAATAAGACGGTCGTGAGATGCGCGCGATATCATCAGCAGCCGAGAGAGCCCGGCAACGATTTGAACGATTGAATTGAGGGATTGAGCGAACGATGTACGTAAAACATCCGAACGCGCAAAAGTATCATGCACCATGCGCGTCATGTACATTCCAAGCAATCGAATTTATTTTACCGCCTTCCCCGTCGAAATTTCAGCACCGAACGTTAAAAAAATGCGACTTTGCGATTGATCAATTAAGTGTCCGCACGAACAAAACGCGGCGCTAGATTAATCGTTGAAATATTGTTCAAACTCGACGTGCACAAAGAAAGGAACGATGCAGAAAAAAAATACAAAGATAAATCGAAAACAACGCGGCGCGCCGTCTTCGGAATGCCAGCGTCCGCACGATAATTAATTAATTTCTTGAAATCATTAGCGTCGTCGCTCAGCTCTTTGAGAACTGGCAGCAGCCGAAAGACGACGAGTGCAAAAGAAAACAAAAGCAAAATCGGCCACCGGTTGGAATTGACTCATTATTTATCATCGCAAGCAAGTACGATATTGCTTTCGCAATATTGGACTATCAGTTTTAATCCGTCATTTTATCCTTTTTTGCAAATAAAGATAATAAAAACAAAAAAGTTTTGTGCACAAAAACTCACCATGCTGCACTTCCAGTTTGTTTCCGAGGTGCATCCCATGTTGTTGGCGTCCATGTTGACGTTGCCACCGTAATTAAACTTAATGGGGTAGCCGCGTGTTGCGGGAAGGACGACAAACTGCAAAAAGTCACATGATTATATTATGATGATCGTTGCTATATGTTCATATATACGGCAGGCAGCGAGGCATCTAAGTGGTTTATATAAGTACGCAAAGTGAGGAACATTAGAAAAACGCATAATTACACGTTTCGTAAATGATGAAAAAAATATCAGTGTGTGTGGACGGCCGCACGATATAAAACTGAGGAGACAATTAGCTAAATTGCCACTGTAAAAACGACGTTTATCGTTGGTTGGATGACCTAAACCCATGCATGCAGGTGATACTAGTGAGGTCGTTATTATTACATAAAATATTTCATCATGGGAGGTGTGTGTTTTTAACTAAACATCAAAATTTTACAGTTTTTGTTTATTCATATGCCAATAAAATGTCTGCTTTTGTAAAACTACAAAACAATTGTATTTAAATTAGAATCAATTTGTATCGGTTTCGGTGTGCCTCTAATAAGCTCAGTAGATGGTTTGAAAGCTTGAACTTGTAATGGCGCTGTTCGAACAAACGAGAACGCAAACCGAATGAAAAGCGAAAAGATTAATTAAAGCAATCGCCAGTACGCTCGTTTGGGTGCTCGATGAATTCATTCATTTCCCGCACAAGAGCGACCAATAAATCAATTGTTGTGCGGCGCGCGCGTTCCCATTTCGATTGCAAACGATGCCGGACGCGATGCACGCCGCGATTGAAACGTTTTCTACGGTAATTAATACGAAGGAACGAATTGATATTATTATCGGCGCCTTTGATGTCCGCGCGCACCGTACAGGGTGCTTTCACTGTACGCTTCGATTTGCTTTGGTTTGCTCTGCCTTTCTGAACGTACTACTTACTAACACAGTTAGTTGCATCCCAGGAGAAATAATGCGCACTTAAGCCTTAAGTAACTCCTTGCATTGTGCCGACATGCTTTTTATGGGCGCACATTGCTACTGTTCAAGTTCGAGCCTCGTGTGACCATGCATTGTTGCCGGCATTGTTGGTCGAAGAGCGGACAGATTTTCAAGTTGCAAGTGTACCAGAAAATAACGCATTATGAATGTTTTCATCTCACATAATTGAATTATTGAATGAAAAAATTGCCTACAAAGCAACGTAATATTACTTATTGTTACCTGTTTTGTGTTTGCTCGAGAACATTTACAAATGTTTCTTTACATTAGGCAAAACACTTATTTTTAAGCTTCTTTATAAAGAAAAAGATAAAATTTAAAATAGCCAACGCAAGAGGTCTTCTTATTTTATATTTTTCTATGCAAGCATTAGTGAAAACATTTTTGATATTTTACACCCCTTGAGACGATGAGACAAAACCAAAGTATTCTGAAGTTGAAGCGTCAATAGACATTTATACACTTTCAAAGTGGATTTTTACTTTATGGCTGTTGACGGTTTTATGTTACCGCAAAGCAACTAAATATAAGCACCAAACGCTTAATTTACTCCAGATTTTGAAATATAAATGCCTGTATTCTTATATTCCCAAATGAATTTTAAACTCTAAACATAGTAGATCAAATTAATGCACTACTTTTTTTTATTCTAAGCGTTAGTGACTTTTGAGCGCTGCGTTGAGTTGTAAATTGTGTGCATCACAACGCGGCAATCTGTTTGTTAATATGACCTTCTTTTACACCCTTTCAGGACGTGGAGCAAAAAATATTCTTTCAACGTGCCCTTAAAATGTTTATATACATTTATAAATTATAAATGAAGCAAAGATTGAAAGAGGAATAAAAAGGGGTTCCGGATGTCGATTGGGAACCACCCTAGAATAATAAAAAATGGTTGTAATTTTAGCTTTTGTAGTGTGTGCAAAATGACAAATTCGTTTTGGGTTATTGCCTTTAAATTATTGGCAGATGTCAGCGGCATTCATCAATAAATGAACGTTGCCACGTGTTATCGATTTGTTCAGCTTTTGCTGATTAGAAGATATTAGGTAATCAATAAAATGTGCACAAATTAAGACTAGGCTCGAACGTTCGTCTAGATTTCTCAGTTTGTTCACGCCTCGTTGGTGTGAATCACGTCGCATCGTCTTTTACCTCGTTGACGGCGCAATTTCTCACGAACTTCTTAAAATCCGCGCCAGATTGCGCGCGCCTGTGATTTAATACCTTCAATTTGGCACATTCGGCGCGCTTCTCATCCTTCCTGCGCATCGCATACAAAGCTGAGATAAGATGCGGCCTAGTCGTGTGAACATCTAACAAATTTTGCGAAGTTCCGTTTCTGGGGCAAATTCCACATCGACGCGCATGCACGTGCCACCTACCCGTTTGGCACTTTCTCATTTCGTAGCTTTTGCAACAAAAGAACCACCTCTTAAATCAGTAATTCATCCCATCAATAAATATTTCAATTGCATCCCTGCGTGCCTTCCTTTCCCGCTTCATCAAGCCAGCTCTAATCCATTTAAATCTAATTTATCGCTAGCATCCCGAATCCCCGATGATAATCCGTAATATTTACTGTCTACGGAGGGAAATGAGCTTCTTTTCGAGGTGTTTCAGAGGCGTTCGCTGTCGTATTACCATCGCAAATGCATACAACGCGTGTGCATCTCAACACTCGGTTTGGTTAAAACCCGCTTACGTCACATGCACGTCCTCGGGTGTACGAATTTACGCATTGTATTCATTGCTCGGTGCTTGGTACGCTAAATACCCCTATAAAGTGGCAGCTAAATATTTCAAACGTGACCCTCTTGCCCGAGTACAGCGTGCGCTACCGTTAGGTAGCATCAGATAATGCTGTAAAAAAGCGCTCGCTCCGTATATGTGAGTGCATGAATTAATGCTATATGTTACGCGCTCAAACATATTAGCGTGCGCACATTGAGGGAGCTTTATACCTCTACCTTTCGGGTGACGATAAGTACGGATAAAATGTACGCATAAAAATTGTCATTATAATCGTATGTCATTGTTATTCTGGTTTATATTCGAGCTTATACCAAGTGTTTCAAGTTAAAACACAACTTACTACATATTAATTATTATACTTACATATAAATAATTATTTATACAATTGTAATGTAAAATATTATTATTTAGACATATTACTTGATTGCTAAGAAATTTTTACAACTATTTTAAAGAAAATGCAATAATTTCACTTTTTGAAACATTTTGTATATAAAAATTGTCACGACTCACGGACAAAGCCTATTAGGGTCGGTATAATGCGTTGACAAAGTACAGGATGTTTGAAAACACCGTCTTCCAGGTATAATTCCGATGGTTCGAGGCTTAATCGAAGTTGACTCTCCTGAGCTGGCACTCTACTGTCCTCGCTTCGACAAGCGTCACAAACGTCATCAAAAATGTGTGTGCTCACCTGCGCGGATGCATAGTGCACCAATATTTCTAAAATGTTGCCTAAAGTTCTTCTGGTTCACAGAGCAAGTGCTCTCCTAAACCTAAATCTTATAATATCGCGCTCAAAAAGCCCCCAAAAGCCTTCCTCACTTTTTTCTTCTCCTCTTCACCTTTCAGTAGGATACCCATGGACGCATTCACGTGAGGCAAAAGAAAAAACATCTCAGAATTTAATACCTACACGCGTAAAGCTGACGTATAAAAATGCGTCTCGACTGTTTGCAAATGTGCTTACTTAGTTACCAGGCAGAGTGTACGACTGTATACAAACGGGGATTATAGCCATCCGAAAATATATAAGCGACAGGGGAGCACGGGGAGCTTATGACGAAAACTACAAGGTGCAAATATTTTGGTGTTTTTTTACACTCACGCAGCGACGGCGAGCAGAAAGCTCTAAAATAAGACGCAAAAACAACAGAGAGGACAGCGTGGGTGTTTAATGTACGCTCGTTTTTATGCTCGAATAATGTTCGTCCCGCGAATCGGGTTTGCATAAAATAATACCTTGACGTTGTTTAACTAAACTGTGAAACAAAATGGTTTGCAGTTTACTTTGAATATGCTGCCAAGCGACAAGATAATGGAAAAATACTTTGTAACTACCTACGAACATTTTTCAGAACTAATTAATTAGTAGCTGCCGTGGTAAAGTTTTATTCCGTTTGACTTTGTTATTAAAAAAATAATTAATTACTGGAGATGAAAGTGATATCTCTTGGTAAAGTACTTCGTTTTTTGTTAATAATATACTTTTATTAGGCGTGGGTAAAATATCGCTTTTATTCAACCCTCAATATTCCCTACATTTGGGTGTTAGTAAATTCAGTTTTGTGAAGTTCTAGTTCGGTTCCCACCACGGCCACTAAGATTTTTTTCGATTTCAATGAACAAAAATAATATAGTCATTAAATTTTATGCAAGTTTTATTCACTTTACATGCCTCCCTTTCATCGTGTACCGTACATTTCTTGGCCATTACATTTTATACCCCTTTGTTTCCACGCTGAACCCATTTTTGTACTTTTTCGTATTTTTTATTATTACTCCGATGCCTGGGCGTTTTATCTCCCGGACTGCGAATGTAATGCGTACGCGGTGTGTCTGCATAGTGTGTTCATACAAATTCAATGCAAATCGTTACACATGTACAGAAAGCACCGAGGTCCACGCAGGCCGAATATAGACGCGCGCGACAAATCCATGCGCTGCGCTCGCGTTTTTACGCTTTTACGCGCGCTCGCTTTTTTGTTTGTGCCTTTTTCCAATTGAATCGGGACGATTTAGTATCTCCGGCGGACAAATAGAATATAACTTTGGGGCGCGTAACAGCATAATGGCCGTTGGACCGCGGCGCGCAACAACTGAAACTCTTTTCGCGTCTCGCGCGAGAGGAGAGCAGCGTTAAACTTGCATCAGTAAAACCGAACGTAAACAGACATAATAGACTCTTCTTTTCACATGGATTGCGGCGGTGGGTACGGCGCATCGGCGGCATAAAAGTCAATCGTGGATACAAAACGCTTTCCACTCATTTAAATACGTCCAACGCATTTATTCCGGAGAAGTTTATGCTTGTTTGCAGTTGGCGAGCCGGTGTCGCGATTGTTACG